CGGTCTCTTTTGGTTCCTTGGACCGGTTGATCTCGGCTACCTATTCTGTTCCACTTCTTCGTCAGCATTAGGGGCTGTTGGGTGATATCCAATGCAGATACCCTTTGTTTTTCCTTCCCCTCAGTTTCAATTCCTCTATTCCTCGTCCCAATTAGAGTGCAATATCACGAATGCTTGTGCTTGTTCTTTCGTGATTCGGTAACTGAGAAAGAGCTGTTAATAGATTCATGCTTAAAAGAAACCCGCAATACGCTACGCTGTCCGGGGTTGAACATTGATTCAATATTGACTCTGCTTATACGTTGTCCCTACAGTGACAATCATTCTAGCAGTATACCCACTACTAAGATTCCAGTCTTAAGTCCCGACACATATGTAATGCATATAACAGTATTTATAAGAGGAGTGAGGCCTAATCACAGGATATTCAAGGCAGGTTATGCAATTCGTCAACCGCCCAGCAAATGCATGTAGTAGATGTATAACACAGTCTTCTTTTGGTGAGAGAGCACATAAGACAAGGATAGAATGAAAGGAAATTATAAGATAAGAAAAGATATCATGGTCGCTCGACAATTCTCATATATCACTTCTGGAAACCACCAGCCAGCCATATATGTGGATCACCTAACGACCTTCCCTCCCTCATGACCGAGAGTTGCCGCTCAAGCCAGCGCGGACAGCCTCCAGGATCATATCCTTGGCCTCTTCCAGGCCCTCCTTGCTTCCCTTGATCTCGATCGCTTCACCCTTGGCTTGGTCCTTGGGCACATTGATCCGGCAGCCAGTCTGCTTGCGGATCGCGTTGATTTGGCTACCACCCTGGCCGACGACGAAGCGGTAAGTCTTCGGGTCAGGCAGGATGAGGTAGCCTGTAGCGGACTGCTGGGAAGCATTGGCAATAGCCTTCTCCAAGGCCGACTTGGCCTTGGCGACATTGTCGCTGGTTCCTGACAACACCCACGGGATGGTCGCCGGCTCAGAGGGATCGACAGCGGCCGGGCTGTTGTCCACGATCTTCCATGAGTGAGCCTCCAAGGCCTCGCTGGGCTCATCTGTGATCAGGGGAGAGAAGAGGAACCGTTGACCGCACCGCGGGAGTCTTCAGAGGCAGGCTTGGGAGGCACCTGCTGCCCAGCGTGATCCACGGTAACGCGGTAGTCGTTGCGCAGGCGACGGAAGAAAGAGCCATTCTCAGCAATAGCATGGTGCAAGTTCCGGGGAACCTCCACCGTCTCGCCCTGCTGATCCTTAAGCATAGACTCAATGTGCTCCTTGGCCTCCGCGACTGCGTTGCTGGGTCCCTTCAGCTTGATATCCGAGCGTCCGGATCCCTGCTTAGGAATGTCGAGGGTGATGTTGAACTTGGACTCAATGCCGCGCCGGGTCTCACCTCCACGGCCAATGAGTAGACGATGTTGAGACGGGGGAACCTCAACGGTCGTGCTCACTTGGTCCTCACGCTCCTTGACAAAGTCCTGGATCGCAGTAATGATCTTATCAACCACCTGACCGTTTCCTTCGAGCTTGATGGCCGAGTCACTGCTCTCTGGGCGAGGGAACTTGACCATTCGGGAAGCGCTGCCATCGGTAGGGCCACCAGCCTCAGCGACGATCTTGCGGATGTTGGCACCTGGAAAATTGTTAATTACTCATGCTACCTTGTAAAAAGTGGGCACACATTACTCACCACCACCGCCAATGAGCGACTTGTGGTACTTCTTGTCCACATCAATTGTCTTCGTAACGATGGAGTCGAACTCCTTCGACCGCTGCTCCAGGGTCTTCTTTGCCTCTTCAACTTGCTTCTTAGTGCCCCTGATCTTGATCTGCACACGGCCCGACTCATCTGGAGCATCGTTGACTCCCGGAACATCAATCTGGGCGCCGGTGTCGGCGCGGAGCTTGTCCATTTCACGACCGCGCTGGCCGATCAAGGAGGGAATCTGCGCTTGAGCGACAGACACTGTAGCCGTGTAGGAGTGGTCAATCACCCACTGAAGCAAGCTAAGGATCTCATCACGCGCAGCATCAGCACCCTTGCTGGGCCCCTTGACGATAACCTCATCCAGAGCCTGCTGAGGGCGGTTGGGGCGAGAGCCACCTGCGTCACTAGAAGTCTCAGCGACAGACTGGTCATCGCTGATAGTAGCAGCCACGGCAGCACGGGGAAACTGAACACGGACAGAGTAGCGGTCCTGCAGTCTGTTGACCTGGCTTCCTTTCTGGCCGATCAATTCCCGGTGATACTGAGCAGGAACCTTCAAGACATGAGTGGTCTCATCTTCCAGCTTCTTGCCCAGGTTGATGATTCTGGTCTTGGCGGCATCGGCCTTGGCCTTGGGTCCTTTGACCTCGACCTTACCCCCCTCGACCTTGATGTCGACATCAAACTCGTCACGGAGCTTGTTGATATTCTCGCCCCGCTTGCCAATCAAGAAGTTGGCATACTTCTGGGGGAAGTCGAAGGTCGTGGTGTATCCTCTTTCGAGGTCATCCTTCTCCTGCTCCACAACAAACGCCTGGATCTTCGAGGCAAGATCCTCCACCAGGCGAGAGGGTCCACGAAGAGCAACCTCGGACTCGTTACGGTTACGGCCATCGCCGACAATGGCACGAACAGGGATCTCGTCCTCACTCTTCGCTTCCTGCTGGCGGGAGATGAACTTGCGGACCTTGTCCTGGTACTTGGCCGGCACGCTCACAGACGTCGCCACGACATCGTTCTGGTCACCGAGAGTGCTCAGAAGATACTCCTGAGCTTCCTGGAGAGTCTTCTCGAAGGTAGCAAGTTCAGCGGCAGAAGGCCTCTGACGAGGGATCTCAACCTGAGCAGAAGAAGCGGAAGGGCCTTCATACACCAAGACCACGTCGGAGCTATCAAGCTCATCAGGCACAAGAAGGTGAACGCCATAGTCACTCCGCAACTTGGGAATGCTCCGAGAGCGCAGATAAGGGTGGAAGTAGGGGTCGATCGCGAGGCTACGAAGTCTCGTAGGAGGGTGAGCCTGAACCAAGTTCATGATATCGGATCTTGCGCGAATAGTGTTTTTGCCATCTCTGGAGTAGACCTCCCAGGTCACAGGGCCGTCCGAGCTGGGCGGAAGGGCGATCCGAGCGTCATACATTCTCTCCAGCTCCTTGATGATTTGGCGCTGTCTTAGGTATTGGGTGAGGGCACGAGCATGAGCATGAGGACCCATGGGAGCACTAGGGTGCTGACGAGAGAGGTCAATGCTTGCCATTTGCATGCTGGTGGCAAGGTCCATGGCCCGGTTGATACCATTCTCGATGCAGTCAAGCGGACCCGTGATGGTGAGGAATTCGCTCTCGTCAGATGCAGGGGGCAGGACAATGGCACAGCCCGTGTCAGCCAGGAATTCGTGCAGCGCATCGGCGTTGTCGCCAAGGATGAATTGATGCTGGCCACGGTTGATGGCGAGCTGGCGAAGGGTGAGCTGGCGTTGCAGGTCGGCCGCAAGTCTCTCGATTTCCGCGCGAGCTTCTTGAGCGGCAGCACGCTCACCAGAGATGTGGATGTGCTTCTCGGGAACCGGCACGAACTGGACATGACCCGGATCAGCCTCCTGAGGCGGAGGCTGACTCTGCCAGGTATCGTACCGGGGGACATGCACTTGCGCCTTGGTACGCTCCTCGATTTCTTTAAGGTTGGCATTGTGAGCACCGGCGATGAAGGGGAAGAACTCCGGCGGGACGGATTTGAGACGCAGGCTCATGTTGGAGGCGCGCTCCTTGACGATCGCTTCAATCTCCCGACGAGCCATCTCAGCCGCAACAGCATCACCCTCAATGAGGACATCAATAGTGTCGCTGTCGTCATCGTCCGCTCCGGAGGCAGACTCCTCAGCGCGAGGAACCTGCACACGTGCGCCAGTTCGTTGCTGGATGTCTTGAACGACAGCACCTTGGCGTCCGATGATGTGAGGGCGGGCGGATGTGGGAATCGGAACGCGCACCGATTGCTAAGGCAGGACGTTAGTCGACAATCCACCTCAAGCCTCGACGACGGAAATACATGCCTTGGATCCGACCTGCTGAGCGACCTCCTTCAGGGCCTGCCTGACCGCATCCACGGAGCCCTTGCCCTCAAAGATGATGGAGCCACCGGGTCCACCGCGCATGTCGACATTGGCCTTGGATCGCTTAGAGATATCGCGCAGGATATCGCGCAGAGGCTTCTTGAGCTGACCGCGGGGGAGCATTTGCGAGGGCGCCAACCGGAGTTGTTCCATGTGCTTGCCGGGCAGACTAATGATCCTGGGAACCTCAGAACCGAAACCTCCAGGGGCTGGTTCGGAAACTATCAGTATAACGATACAATTTTCCAGCAAAGGATCGAATAGAACATACCAGCCTGTGCGCCGCTGGCAGCACCGTTGGCGACGGCAGCAGCGGCGGAACCTCGGGCTCCCCAAGCAGAGGCGGCGGGAGCCTTGGGCTTCGGACCACTTCCAAGTGCCGGGAAGAGTTCCTCAGACTGGACATCGAAGGCAGGGGTCTTCTTGGGAGCTGGCTTGGGGGCTGGAGAGGCGGTTGGGGCCGGGGTCTGCGCCGGAGTGGAGGACTCGGGCTCATTCACCGAGGAAGACGGAGGGGGATGCTTCAAATCCTCTTCATCGACAACTTCTTCCACAGTCGTCTTGTGCGCCTCATCACGGGCATGCTGCTCTTCCAGCATGGCAGCCCGAGACTTGGCACCGCCGTTCACATTGACACTCGACACTTCGGAAGCCATGGTAGCGGGACAATCGGTGGACTCGGGAGAGATCTCGAATGGAGGAGAGGGACGGAGGGGGGAGACTATTGCTGAATTCCGGTGACGTTAGAGGAGACCAATTGATGGCCTGGGAGGTGCAAACATACCGACAAGCAATATGAGTTAATGGGATTATAGCTGGCTGCCAAAAGATGTCCAACAAGACCGGATATTAACACCAAGCGGGAGAGATGCCTTGTTGAGCTAGTGATCCAAAAATATAATGGCCGGGGGCCGCAAAAGTGTAGTCAAGAAGGGAAAAGCTCAATTGCTACCTGCAGAGGCTAAATGCGAAAGAAAAGTATTTATGGCGAAGGTGTGCCCCAAGATTAAGCTGAGGAGATGAGGGGAAGTGGGAGAGAAGAGGAAACAAAAGACTAAAAGTGGAAAGGCGGAGAAGGAGGATGGAAAAGGATGAGCGGAGGGGGGGAGAGAGAGAAGAGGCGAATGGAGAGGAAGAAGGAGGAGGAGGAGGGGGTCAATGTAATTGACACGATCCAGAGGGGAGACGATGGCAACCGAGAGAATCTGGAGATGGGGAGGGAGAAAGAGAAGAAGAGAGGGAAGAAGAAGAAGAGAAGAGGACAGACAACAAGCCCGAGTGGTCGGAGAGGAAAGTTGGAAAGCCCGGGGGAGGAAGTCATTCCCTTTCGGGCTGATGGGCGGAGCCGCCGTCTCTCAACCTTATGGACGTTCTGGAAAATCCACTCACCACCATCACTTTGCTTTGCTTTGCTTCGCTTTTCTGCCCTTCACTGGTGCCTGTTGGTGCTCGATGGAGTGCAACTGCAAGACATCACCTTAGCCCGCCATGACTTGACCGATCATTACCCAAAACAATCAGATTGCCAAAGCACGCATGGTCGCCGTTGCCGAGAGTGCGTCAATTCCGTCACCCAGTATGGCCATGCCATCATGAACTCGACCACCAACGAGCACCATTTTCCTCCTTGATAAACCCGATTCCCCAATGGGCATGGCTCGCCGGAGGTGATTGGTGTGCTGGGATAGTGCGCCCGGCTTGCAGGTTGAGGCTGAGTTCTGCCTGTCCGATCCACCAGCGGAGAACGCCTCCAATGCAAGCATGGGTAGTCAACCCATGTCCTTTTCTCGATTCTCTCTCCCGATAGTCGACTTGGTAGCTGGTCCTCATGGGGTAAGAGTTACAGCATGGTTAGAAGTCTACGGAGACATCTGCCGACATCAACTACTCTATCGACGTGACATTATCATGGACCGCGGTGACTTAACTGGATGGAGGTAGCTAGCTTATAATGAGAGACAATATGGGGCTCAGTGTGTCTCTGGATGAAGATGACTACTACGTGCAGCCGTTTGGTTCCGCACCGAAACACCTAGATTGGATGTGTATACAGCGCATGCTTCTAGAATAACCCAAGAACAACCCCAATATGTGAATATACTGGGTTTACTGGAAAAGGGCACCACACCAGCATTGTGGATCTTTAACCGGGGGTGGCAGAGTAGTAAGCGAGTCTGCCCGGTCCTACAGATATCGAAACAGCATAGGCCAACTGTCTCAACAGTTGATTAATGCATCACCTTCCCTAGAAGAGCCTGGAGGAGGGTTTCCAAAGAAAGATTGGATCCTCCAGGCTTGGCTTGGTTCTCACCAGTGACAGCTGGCGGGTGGCAAAATAAGCATCTAGAAAGTTTAAGACAGTTACACATTCCAGTTCATGTCCTCCATGTTATCTTATTGGTATTGTGAGACAGCAAACTTATGGCAGTTCGAGTGTCTTATTGTTGCCTTGGTTTGCATAGCACATGGTCTCGATCTGTAGGTTAGTCCATCATGCAGTGTGGGATGAATCCAATTTTGCCTATACAAGTCCAGGTAATCTAGTATATCAAAACCAAGAGGATAACACCTCCACCACACTGAGAAATTCCTGATCATCCGGGTAAGAAGTATTTAGACATGTAGTGGTTGACTGTTTGCTGCTCTCTTCCCGAGGCCCCCCTGACCCACTTCACTGCGATAGAAGCACGCGCGACTAAAGGCTGGGCCGAAGTGGACCAGAAACCTTAACGGAGATATGCTGTTTCGATGGGCACTGTTCGCATGGAGAGAGAAAAAGCCAGGGCGCTTCCATGCTGCTCTGGCATGAAATCCAACATGAAATCCAGCAGTATCCCGGTTATCAATTCGAAAACCCACTGGATCCTTATAACTTCGGACTTGGCCGAACTCCCTCCGCAATCGTCGTCCACCACCGCGACTCACGGGAAAAGGTTTTCAAGTGTTATCTGACCATGTCTCGCCCGGTTGGCACTAAAAAGACACGGACTGGGGCAATCTGTGATAAGAAAACCCTGTTCCACAAATAACAGGCCGACCTTCTGTGAGGGCCAGAGATAAAAACGACCAATCTGGCACAACTAGCGAGGCCTGCGATTCCCCATTCGTCGCCGACTTCAAGCGCGATGGCAATTTTCGCCTACAAATATATGCAGCCTTCAACGCCGGTTTTCTGGGGAAGCAGTTGAGCAGAAGAGGTGTCTCGTGAGCCTTTATTCTCTCCTCCTCCTCCCTTGCTCTCCTGCCGCTTCTTTCTCCCTCCCCGCAATTTTCCCCCCCTCTCTCCCTTGCCCCTCCTCTTCAGGATGGATTTCAAAACCCTTGAGGATGGCCACCCCATCGAACCGAAGCAGGCCACCGCTTCGGTGGAGGAACACGCCCTGGTTAAACCTAGCGGTTTCTTCGCCCGCATCCGCTACTATGAAGAGCTGTTGGATCAGAAAATGGGCGTCGAGTCCCACAGTCTCGATCGAGTCCTGCCCGAAGAGCGCAAACCGCCCAACACCTTGGCCATGGCCTTTATCTGGGCATCGGCCACCATGAACCTCAGTTGTTTCAGTACGGGATTTATGGGGAAGGAGTTTGGCTTGACCCTAGGGCAGACGATCGCCATTATGATTTGCGCGACGTTTCTCGGCGCTGCTCTCACGGTTCGCATACCACTTTCTCTACCTATCTTTTGCTGCGACGCAATGCGGCGCACTCATCTTAGGGTCTGTCCAAAGGCTTACATGTCGGTTCACTAGGGTTGGTGTGCCACGATGGGCCCTGGCACTGGCCTTCGTCAAGTCGCCATCTCTAGATACTCCTTTGGCTTCTACCCCTCCTCCATCATCGCGGCGCTGAATGTCGTCGAACAGCTGGGCTGGGCCTCTGTCAGCTGTATTACTGGTGGTCAAGCTCTTCGTGCCGTTTCGGACAATCACATTTCCATGGTCGTGGGAGTCGTCATTGTTGCATGCGTTAGTTTGTGTTTCAGCTTCTTCGGTCTTAGGGCTGTTATGACCATTGAGCAATACATTTGGATGGTTTCCTTTGTCGTCTTCATCATCGTCTACGGTGAATCGGCCCACCACGCCAGCCTGTCAGATCCCGGTACCGTGTCCGGGCTGACCAAGTCCGGAAATGTTCTGAGCCTGATCAGCGTTATCTATGGCTCGAGTGCATCGTGGTGCTCGATCGTGTCTGACTTTTATGTGCACTACCCGGTCAACACCTCGAAGGTCAAGGTCTTCATCTACACCACCCTGGGTATTTCACTCCCGACTTGTATCGGAATGTTGCTCGGTGCGTGTATCGCATCTGCCCTGGACGGAAACCCAGAATGGGCTGCTGCCTATGACCAAGGAACTGGAGAGATCTTGCAGACCATCATCTATCCCCGCAAATTTGCTAAGTTCCTCTTGGTCTTGCTGGTGCTGTGTGGCAGTAAGTATACCCACTTACCTCACGTCATAACCGCTACTAACACTACAATATAGTCGGTATGAACTGCATTGCCATTTATGCTGGATCCCTTTCGGCACAATTATTCGCCAAACCCTTCCAGAAGATCCCCCGAATTATTTGGACACTACTCGTGTTCGCCTGCATTCTTGTCATTGGTATCGCAGGCCGGGACCACCTGCTGACTGTCCTGGATAATTTTCTCTCCCTCTTGGGTTACTGGAACACCTCCTTTTTCGTCATTTTGTTCTGCGAACACTACTTCTTCCGCAACGGCAACCTGGCCAACTACGACCTCGACGCCTGGAACACGCCGTCGAAACTGCCCGTCGGCTACGCCGGTCTCACAGCGTTCCTGTGCGGTGCGGCCGGTTGGATCGTCGGCATGGACGAAACGTATTATGTTGGAGCGCTGGCGCGCAAGATTGGCACCGATGGAGGAGACATTGCCAATGAGCTGGCGTTTGTTTTTACTAGCTTGTCGTATATTCCCTTGCGGAAGCTGGAGTTGAAGTACGTTGGACGGTAGATGAGCAACACATGTACACTATGATCATATTATCATGACGATGAACGGCAGGCCACGATATATATATTGATGGTTAACGATAATGCAACTCCTATGATCTCTGCTATAATCATACCACCAGAACTATTGCACTTGATTTTCAAGTAGATAAATGGATGGTAGCTACTACATGCACCCTTTCTCTGAAGTACATAAACATAATCACATCAGCCAAAGTAGATTAGTATGTATCTACCTGCCAGCACGCATACACATCCATAAAACATCTATCCCCCAATATCACCTCCTCATTTCTTATATATAGTATATAAAGACAGGGTGCAATACAAACAACAATAGATTGCAACAAAAGTCAGTACATAAGGCAATCACACCCCGTAACTGCAATATGAATTCAATTTAGACTTACCAACAAGTAGTATATTGATACATTCAATACTAAGGACCTCCTTCTCAATCCAACTCTAGTAGTAGTAGTAGTAGTAGTAGTAGTAGTAGTAGTAGTAGTAGTAGTAGTAGTAGTAGTAGTAGTAGTAGTAGTAGTAGTAGTAGTAGTAGTAGTAACCCCCCCTCTTCCACCTGCTCATACATACACCCTATCCAAATAAGCCACTAACTAGCAGCCGACTGTCATCACATAATACACAACTCCTCTCTTCCCCCGATATAAGCTAACACAACACATTATCTAAGTTCAAGCATGAAACATTACCTGTCAAGTACCAAGAGTTACTCCCAACTCCTGGCAATATCGATAGAATCAATAATCGGCTTGAATTGAAAGGTTAGATTACTAGGTAGAACTTCACCACCCCACGTGTTTGCCTATATACTCTCCTCCCTCTCTCATCGCTGGCAAGTTTCAGAGCTTAACTTAACTACCAGACTAATCTTGTACTAAACTGGTCAGTAGTAACTTTGGTCCGGTTAGTGAGAGTGGGTGGTGGTGGGTGGGGGGATACAGTAGGGTAGGGTAAGTTTGATCGTCGAAGGTCTGGTTTTTGAGATTGATGATGAAACAACGACAACAACAACAACAAACTATCTAGCTTACCTCGGTTCAAGGCTGCGGGTTTCCAGAATTTTATTATTGGGATTAAGATGGGGAATGGATGTTGGTTAGATAGTTGGAAAGTTGATTTTTAGGGTCCATATTAAGACTCCTATAGGTCCTGGGAAGAAGGTTCCATAATATTGTTCTTCTTTCGGGGGGGTGTGTGTAAATTCCTCTGTGTAATGGAAATAAAAGAATGAGGTAGATAATATTACTTTTTACTTTGTCGCTATACCAGAAGCAGTACAGTAATGGCTTCAGGTTTCAATCGCAGACTAGGTTGGGCCCTGTGACGTCAGCGATCGCAAGAGTGAGCGAAGTTTGGCTTCCTAGCTTGCTTGAATCATGTTCGAGAGTCTCCACGCTAACAGAGTTCCTACGAGTCATTGGATGGGACTGATGGCGCAAATGACCGAGCATGAGGGCCCTTGAGCAAGAGAATATGAATGTCTGCCTAGACAGACACTGTAGGAGAATCTGGCCCTCGAGGGGGGCTATGCCACTGATTTAAGTGAACATTGAGATGCTCTATCGATTTACGAATGGAGCAGTCATACTAATTATCAGTCATGCCATCCACTATCTACTCCGTACACGATGACCGAGTATGGCCAGGATACTGCATCAATCAATCGTGGCGCAGTAAATGGGATGTGATGAATACCATCCAACTTTTTCTAGAACAAAAATTACTATCATCTGATTCGATCGATTTCGCACACACAGGGCCGCCATGACATCAGACCACTCGTCCTAAATCTGCAAACTCGAGTAAGTAAGTAGATGATGTTAATCGGTCCTTGGAACGAAACGCCCGTTCAAAAATAACAAAAAAAAAAACTCAAAGTTCTAGGCCTCGACCATCCATCCCATTTTGTTTGTGCCGAGACGGAAAATGACGGGCTTTGCCGATCCCGCGCCATGGCAGTTTTGAGTAGACTGGTCAATCCCACTCAATCAATACTATTACTTATTTAGGTAATTGTTTATTCAATTGGGATGTGCAGAGTATTGTATAATCGATCCAAAAGCCAAGTTTCATATATAAATAAGTGATATGTCGAAGTGATATCTAGGGTTGCTGAGCGGATACATCTTTCTTGTCCGTATTCATACAGTAAGTTAGTTAAGAGTGCGGAGTCACTCCGTCTCGGGGGACTCTGACTTCATCCCCGCTGCAATGGATGGAAGGAATGGAATCCGTTCCGTCAGTTAATCAAGTCGGCTTTCGTCCTGTGGGTGATTAGTTATTGCATGCTTATGGAGTACTCAGCAGGTATTCTAGTCGGTGAAAGCTTTTCTAGAACCAAATACATCAAGATTCTCTGCTCGTGGTTATCATTACCAGTCACATAGACTACCTTGTGTGATGGTATGAGATCAGATCAGAACCCACCATCCGAGCAAGAGTCTATCTGTGTAAATTGTAATTTTACTCTGCTCCTTTATTTCAGGGGTGAGAGTAAAAAAGAAGACACCTGTGTGACTCGGCCGGGGTAGTAGTAACTATTCCCTCAAATCATCTGCAGGTGCAGGTGCAGGGGTGTTTGTGCGAGTGTCATGTCATGATTGAGAGACGATGCCTGTCAGTACCTAATCCCTCCGTACTTCTCCGTACCCGGTTCGGGGTTGAGGAGGAAGACACAATAAGCCTTCCGCGGTAAGAGGGAGCTGATGTATAGAACGAACTAAACTACACCGTACCTGCAGAGATTTCAACGGGATCATCAGAGGCTAAAATTTGAAAGGGAAGCAACTTGACCCGTGATCAGCTCGAAAGTTACTCCATATTCATATTCATATTCCGAGGTCTGAGTAGATACTAACTACTCTGTAGGTCCGAGTGTAGATTTAGCTTTTGTTTTGTTTTCTTTCAGACCCTATATTTTGTTATTGTTTTTAATTCACTCGGGGAATTCATTAACAAGCGCAGCTGGATTACGACTACGTACTAAATCCGATCCAGATGGCGAGATAAGTAGATAGATAGATAAATAGACTAGCTCCGGGAAGAGAAAGCAGGAAGATACGAGGACGTAGGAGGCAACTGTAGCGGATTGGAATCTCGTAGAGAGAAAGCAAGCGATGACGCTACACGGACTCCCAGATCAATAATGAAGCTAAATATTGGTGGCTTGCCCTGGACCATGGGAACGTATCCACCGTGTTATGGAATAATTAAATGAGGGAGGAGTGAAATTCCTTAATTCCATTATGGAAGGAAAAGAAAGAAAAGAAGAGGGTTGGGTGCGGCACAAGTCGGTTGGAACCTAGTCTTTCTTCGCCCGCCCCGCTCGGCCTAGCGTGGCACTAAGGCCGCTCCTCCCAGGTGTCTAACCAAAGTTGCTGTGCTGCTGGTGCTGGTGCTGGTGCTGCTTTTTGGCTGCTTAGACAGAGGCAGAGAGAGAGAGACCCAGCTGTCTCCATCAGTAAGAAAAAGTTGATTGAGTGAATGAAGTAAGTAGACTACTATGTACAGCAGTTCTTGTGCTAATTGACCACGTCAGCCCCTAGTATTAGGATCTTTCCTATTTTTGTCGCTTCCTTCACAGGCTGGGGAATGTGGAATTCCCCCAAATATTTTTTCCTTCTGCTTCCTGCTTCCTGCTTCCTGTACACCCTCCTTTTCATATCTCTGAAATCGGTCAACTCTTTGGAATCTGTCTCATATCCGAGGTGTCGAAAGGAAGAGGAAGGAAAGCGGAAAACCGGTGGAACCCATCGTTCCGAGAAAGGAAAGGCATCTGTTCGCGATCCACCCGCCAACGGGACGCAAACTGGGGTCAAGGACGTGTCTAGAATTTTTCTCTTTGCCTAATCGGACCTACGGTATCTGAGACACTTAAGCTGCCAGAAGAGTATTTCCATCTTCGGATTTGAGGAGGGGGAAAACACAGAAACAAAAAAAAAAGTACGGGAACAATCTCTCCAATGAGCCCCATCCCCGGAAAAATAATATCCAAACCCATCCATCAGGGAATGTTTGGAATATTCTGGGATTGAGAAATATTCATTATCTGTACACAGCAGTTCAACTGGGTTTTTATTTATTGTTGGACAATTTAGGGAAAACGGAAAGGCAGAAAATAGGCACCCGAAACATTTCTCTCTTTCCTTTATTTTTGTTGGCTTGCTTTGGTAATTGACTGGAATGGTATTGACCGCCCGATTGACAACTTCTCTACGTCGTTGTCTCTTTCTCTTGTCCTTTCGAGGGTATTTGTATCTACCCTCTAGTATCTCACTGTAAGTTAATACTTTGTAAGAAGAAAGTAGGAGTTAAAATAACTGCAGCTTAAGTTCTGACTTTACCGTACCCAAACCAAATCACAGTAAATTACTACTCTCTGCTAAGCCCAAACGATATTAAATGGTCCCCATCACACCTGAGGCCAAGTAAGTCAGTTTCAGTGGCTGGGCCCCGTTATTCTGATGGTAGTACGGGAGTACCCAGTGTAATAATCGTCGGACTGACTCTCAAGACGGGCCGTTGTTGAACTGCTGCCACTGGTTCGACCTCCCAATCCCAAGTCTCCAAAACTAAAAAGCACCTTGCTGGGTCCTTCCCTCCTCCTCCCTCCATCCTCCTCTCTACTAGTTACCCTCTTTCACTCTTTCCCCCCCCATGGCAATTCTCCGTGCTTTTCCCACTTCTTTCTCCGTCATCGTTGGTTTCCCAGTGACTGTTGCATTATTGCTTTTTTGGCGCTGCAGATCTGTGTGCTGAGCTGTCGGTTATCTGCAGCTTTTCCTGCATCTCAGTGAATCACCCTCTCACCTGGTCTTGCTTTTTCCCTATTATTTTTCCCTACCAGTATTATTCCCCTCCCCTTCCCCTCTTTTTTTTTTTTTTATCCTCCCCCAAATTATCCCTCAGAGCCAGTCACCGCCTCTGTTGGTCGACTCCGTCTTTCTCTGCTCTGATCCATCCAGCGGCTCTCCACGTGCTAACCACTGGTTGACGGTAGTCCGCGGCTGCTACTTTCGCGCCCTCCCTTGCGTCGCTCAGACATTCTGGGTCCTTCTCACATCTCCGATTCCTCCGTTCATCCAACAATACTCATCCGGTTGGGGCTATCGATCTGACCGTGCAGTATCACCACACCATCAACCCCCCCCCCCCCCCATCCCCGCCTAGCGGCCTTGTTCGTCCACCCTATCGTCGAAACGGACGGTAGGGACTACTACCTACTGCACTGCGCACCGCCTCACCCGGTGGCTTTCTTTCTCCCCCCCTCCCTCCAATCAAACCACCCATCCCCAGTCGCTCAACCCTGCTGGTGCTGCTGCACTGCTGCTGGTGCTGCTGCTGCCAGTCGGCCGACCTGTCCCTCCACGCACCCCCCCAAAACCCACTCTCCCCCTAAAACTTGCACGTCATGAATCACGATAGTTTCTCCTCCCTAAAATTTCGACGGTCGTCTAGCAAGCTTCACAAGGATCCTCCGAGTTTCAGCTCCCGCATCCTCAAGAGCCAGCAGAGCAACACGTCACTAAAGCGGCACCCTTCAGCGCCCGTCTACCCCCGTTCCTCCACCGGTGGGAGTCGTGAGCACTCGCGGACAAGGTCCAACGCCTACGGATCTTCTTCATCCTCCCTCGAGCAGAATAGTGGCGGCCCGTCTCCGGTGCTCGCTGGCAACCAACCTGGATACTTCTCGAACACCTCCAACCCCTCCAAATCCCGCCCTCCCCACTCGGGTCGATTCTCTCTCACCGAGCAAAGTTCAGATGAATTGATCGGACCCCCGTTTGACAGCCGGGGCATGCTCAGTTCATTGCAGGAAAATACCACCGAGACCGTTCCCCAAAAACCCCCCAACCTCCGATCGGCCACCAGCCCGGACTCCCGAGGATTGAGACAGTCTGCTAGCTTCACGGCTCTACAGAACCGGATGGAGACATTCGTGCACAGGACGACTGACAATGATCGCCCGGCGAATCCAAAACGTTTATCCGATGAGGGTGGTGGTGGTGTTGGCTCGCGGCCATTTGGCACGGGCAGGAGCAAAAAGAGCAGTTTCTCCAGCTTCGTCAATAGCATGTTAGGCTCCCCCCGAGGCATCAAGATCTCCGCCCCGGAGAACCCCGTGCACGTTACGCACGTTGGCTATGACAATCAGACCGGTCAGTTCACTGGCCTCCCGAAGGAATGGCAGCGGCTGCTGCAAGAAAACGGTATCTCGAAAAAGGAGCAGGAGGAACACCCGCAGACGATGGTTGATATTATGAGGTTCTACGAGAAGAATGCTCAAGGCGATGACGAAGTGTGGCACAAATTTGACCACGCTTATCCTCAGCCGCAGTCGGTTTCCAGCCCGATTTCCGGAGGACAGACTAATGCTGTCGGCGCCGGGTCTTACGGCCCTACCTCAGCTCGGACTTCTCCCCCGACGAGTCCTCGCTTTCCACAGAATCATGAGGGTAGCTTCGAAAACCCACGTGCGCCGCCTCCTATTCCTCGTGGGCCTTCTGCGGCCACCCCAGCGGTAGGTGGCTTTGTCCCCAATCGAGCACCACCAAAACCTCCGACCCCTGCCAATATCACCCCGGCTCGGCCTGCACCACAGCCACCAACCGCGGGATCATACAGTGCCGCGCCCGCACGTCCACCCCAAGAGGCCTATTCTCCTCCGCAGTTCGACACGCCTCCCATTCCGGAAACGGAGCCCCTGCAGTCTGAACCTAAGCCTCAGTTGAGCAGATCAAACTCCAGAGCCAATGGTACCCCCGTACCATGGCAGTCACACAATGTTCCTACGCCGGCTCAGTACCAACAAAAGCAAGAGCAAGCAATGGCCGCCGCCCAGCAGGCAATTGCGACCATCCAACTCGACCGTAGCCGCAGTCAGCGTCAACAGCAGCCTACTCGCCAGGAACAAAAGCAACCTTCGGTGCAGAGCCCACCCCACCATGTCTCCCCGGTGGATGAGGCTGCACGCGCCGCTCCTGCCGCTCGCCCCCGGCAGCGACCTCGTCAGAGTAATGCGATGGATATTAGGTCGCGACTACTTGCCATCTGTACGCCCGGGGACCCTACTAGGCTATACCACCATCTCAACAAGATCGGCCAGGGTGCGTCTGGTGGTGTCTTCACTGCCTACGAGAACAACACCAACAAGTGTGTTGCTATCAAGCAAATGAACCTGGACTTGCAACCCAAGAAGGATCTGATCATCAATGAGATTTTGGTCATGAAGGACAGCAAGCACAAGAACATTGTCAACTTCTTGGACAGCTACCTCCATGGTCTGGACCTCTGGGTAGTGATGGAGTACATGGAGGGTGGCAGTTTGACTGATGTGGTTACTTTCAACATTATGAGTGAAGGGCAAATTGCTGCTGTCTGCAGAGAGGTAAGCTTACTGCATCTTTCTCCTTGATGTATCTCGCATCTCCTAACCTTTACTAGACTTTGAGTGGTTTACAGCATCTTCACTCGAAAGGTGTCATTCACCGTGACATCAAGTCGGACAACATTCTTCTCTCAATGGAGGGCAACATCAAACTCAGTAAGCTACCTTTCGCGATGACCCCCAATATTCATTTTCTGACATCCTGTAGCCGACTTTGGTTTCTGTGCCCAAATCAACGACTCGCATAACAAGCGAAACACCATGGTCGGTACACCGTATTGGATGGCCCCTGAAGTCGTGACTCGAAAGGAGTATGGCCGCAAGGTTGATATCTGGAGTTTGGGTATCATGGCCATCGAGATGATCGAGGGTGAGCCTCCTTATCTTACGGAATCGCCCCTGAGGGCTCTGTATTTGATTGCCACCAACGGCACGCCTACAATTAAGGATGAGCACAACTTGTCGCCCGTCTTCCGTGATTTCCTGCACCTTGCTCTCAAGGTGGATCCTGAGAAGCGAGCCTCGGCACATGACTTGCTCAAGGTATGTTCACGTCGATCAAGCTCATTGTGAAATAATAACTGACTGGTCGATTAGCATCCGTTTATGTCGCTTTGCGCGCCCCTGAATCATCTCTCGCCCCTTGTTAAGGCTGCGCGGGCTAGCAGAGCCCAGGAAAAAGCTCAAAAGGGAGGCGCCTAGGTGCCGTCGCTTTTCAACTGTTACTATATACGTCGATGTCTTCTGTCCTCTCTCTCTCTCAGATACCCATTACCCCCCTGATATTTCATATTTGCTGGACAATGACGCTGGCATTGCATTATGGCCGACCCTTGTTCGCAGCTACTCATGTTGGCAGTTTCGCATCTCCTGTGAATGTCTAGAAGGCGATGACCTCATCGGATAATGACTTGTCTATCCGGTTTACTTTTTTTTTTTGCTTGGCTTGATTTCCGTCGCTGGCCACTAAACACCTGCGGAGATATCCTTCCTTCTTGACGAGTTTTCTCTGCAAGATTCTTTCTTTCGACGTTGGCTTTTGAGCGAGTGAAAAAGCCTGTACAATCTCCTGGGGACATCCGTCCAGCTATTGTCAATATTGTCGTTTGTGAGTGCTTACTATTGTCATGGAGCCGAAGCTCAAGAGGAAGCTTGAAGCTTCATATAATGAACGGGCGCCGGTGGTCGGCGTGGTCTCCGGCCCCCATCTTATTGTTACTTGTCTTACAGCTGTTGGGTTGTTCCCATCTCCATATCTTCCAGCGACCGATATTCTTGATGATTTATGAGGCATTTTCCCGACTGTTTTGACGACAAAAAAGAACAAAAGTGTGGAGCTTTTGTCTGTCTTGTTCTGAGTTGACGATTATTATTTGAGCGGTTACATTGATATAGAGGGATCTTTAGTGCCATGGGGCTATTGCTTATGTGTGAGGGATGGTCATGATTATTATTCTTTGTTATTTATCGTGAAGACCACGATGTCACTTTTATTTACCTTTCGATCAATCATCAGGAATCACCCGGGGTATATCTTCATAACAGTCCCTTGAGACCTCTCGCAGTAGTTGTTCTAAGTAGAATATCGTCATTGTTTGCCAACGTCAATGGAAGGCGGTGCCCCACTAGACCAGAAAGGGGCGGGTCTCGCTTAATCGGGCGTAGCGCGGCCAGTCAGCGTCAGAGGCGCTGCTCTCCGTCGGCGCGATCACCTGCTAAACATCAGGTGGCAGCCTGTCTTTCCCTTTCCCCTTGGCTTTCCCGCTGCTATCTTTTCCTCCCTGTCCTTCGTTGTGGTCCGATAATCTGTCTTGGTGGATTCCCCCGTCTGTTAAGGGATCTTGATCCACGAGCGCCTCAATTGATCCCGACCTCGTTTACTCCGGCTCCCGCTGACCGCAGTGTCCCCCGCATCGGGTGTCATCTATCTCGCGGCCTGGATACCGTGAACCATCGAACCTACAACAAGGAGAGAGAACCGGACCTGCATTACTGGAATACATTCCTTGAGCACAACAGCTTCTGTAACATTTTTTCATACCGCGGAATCAAACCCCACTCGTTCGTGTGGAATATTAGTCCGAGTTGCAACGCAGTGATTGCTTCGGGCGCTCGCAGACAACCCCCGTGATGTTTCGCGCACAGCAAAACGCCTTTGACGATGCAGTCGGTATGAAACACACATCCTCTGTTGCACGCCGTGCAGCTCTACTCTCCTATACTTGTTGCTAACCCGAGCGATGTGGTATAGCCAAGGCGACCGACGAGAACCTGACCTCCGAAAACTGGGAATACATCCTGGTACGCAAACCCCACGATCGTTAAATCTGCCATGAATCGGCCGAAAGATATATATCTGACTGGAGCTTTTGGTTGTGTTTAGGATGTTTGCGATAAAGTTGGTGCCGAGGAGTCAGGGTATGTTTCGCCGTTCGGTTGTCCTCTTCGGTGCACGTCATTCTGACAGTGGATTTGTTTCTAGAGCGAAAGATGCTGTCGCCGCTATGATCAAGAGACTTGCGCACAGAAACGCCAATGTGCAGCTTTATACTTTGGAGGTTCGTGCTGGATCCGGTGGCATGCCCGAGTTTTGCGGGCTTACGTGTACTGATATGGCTATAGTTGGCGAACGCCCTCGCTCAGAACTGCGGTCCCAAGATTCATCGTGAGTTGGCTTCTAGGAGCTTCACCGATGCTCTGCTACGTCTAGCGAATGACAGAGTAAGTTGGACTTTCACGGATGAAGAGCATCGCACTTATACAGAGCAGAACACCCATCAACAGGTCAAGTCGAAGATCCTAGAACGCATGCAAGAATGGACGGAGATGTTCGCCAGTAACCCAGATTTCGGAATCATGGAACAAGCATACATGAAGCTGAAGACTCAGAGTAAGATCGTTAGCAGCTATGAATGTTGGAGAGAAACTCACTATCTTAGACCCGAACCTGCAGCCACCGTCCAAGCCCGGGAAGCGGGAAATTACCGATGCAGATCGCCAAAAGGAAGAGGAGGAGCTGCAAATGGCCCTCGCACTCTCGATAAGAGAAAAGGCCACGATCGCCCCTGCGCCACAGGCTGAAGCCAGCTCCAGCGCTGCTCCAGTCAACCAAACCCAGGCACCTGCTGCCACCTCCCAAGCAGTCCCGTCGGGTACTTCTGCCGCCACAGTGTCGCGCGTGAGAGCCCTGTTCGACTTTCAGCCTTCAGAACCCGGTGAATTGCAGTTCCGCAAGGGAGATGTCATCGCTGTCCTCGAGTCCGTCTACAAGGATTGGTGGAAGGGTTCCTTGAGAGGCCAGACCGGCATCTTCCCCCTTAACTACGTTGAGAAACTTCCTGACCCGACGGTGGAGGAGTTGCAGCGGGAAGCCCAGATGGAAGCCGATGTTTTCGGTCAGATTAAGAATGTGGAAAAGCTGTTGACTCTTCTGAGCACTCGGAGCTCCGAGCTGAATGTGCAGGACAATGAAGAAATCACGGCCCTGTATCACTCTACATTGGCCATTCGCCCCAAGTTGATTGAGCTCATTGGGAAATACTCGCAGAAAAAGGGTAAGATGATTTCGACATGTCGCTATTCTCCGCTAATGCTTTGCAGACGAGTTCACGCAGCTCAACGAGAAGTTCATCAAGGCGCGGAGAGATTACGAGTCTCTGCTGGAGGCGTCCATGGCGCACCCAGCACAATCCCAGTATGGCCGGCCGGCTCAACCTCCTTACGGCTATCCTGGTGCTGCTCCTGTGGGATATCCTCAAGGGCCGCCACAAGCTGATCCTCAACGCTACTTCAGTCCCCGTCCTCAAGGTGGGTGCTGCATGGATACATTCTCAGCTCATGTCTAACAAACACATAGCAGAAACACAAGCCCCTCCGGCCAACGCGCCCGCATTCTACGGCACAGAACAAGCACACGCATATCCTCCCACTTCACAATCGCCCGATCCCCGTCAGACACCACCTGCTGGCGCTCCGTATCAGCAGCCGCAGCCACAGCAGCAACGTCAACCCTCCTCGGAGTCCTACCAGCCCGTGTACCACCGTCCGGAATCCACATACGAGAATCCGCAAGAACTCGGCACATCGGTCTACGATTCCCCGGTCGAGCATCCTGCCAGCCAGCGACCACCATATCCCGGCGCCGTGCAGGTCCCGGCCGCCGTGCAGCAGCATTTCCAACAGCAACAGCAGCAGCCGCAACAGCAGTCACAACAACCACACCCGGAATACCCGGCCTCAGGCTACACTCCTGAAGACGCCTCCAGACCCCCTGCCCACCAAGCACAGCCTCCTTACCCTTCACACCAACCGCCGCCTATGCACCAGCCCCCGCCTGTCCCAGGTACATCCACAACGCCGACACCTTATCCTGCTCTGAACGCGGGCGGAGGATACCAGGCATATAACCCGTCTCAAACGGATGTATCTAACCCAGCGTCGTTCTACCGGTGATTTGTACCATCTTTAGGCAGATGTAGTAGTGGTCTTAGGCAGATGTTGTTGAATTGATATCCTTACCCATTTCCATTGGTTTGGTGTGCAGTTGATGAATGTTTCTCTTATTTATTCTTTCACCCTGGCCTTGGGGATTAGGTTTGTAGGTCACAGGGTACGGTGTACTTAGCGTAATTGCTCTCTGCGCGTTTGCTGCCTTCATTGAATTGAGAAATACTAGCGAGTAGTTCCTATATGAAACGAAGATGAAGACGAAATGCCGGAATCCCTTACATCCGGACTGGTAATGCAAACGCACAAAGTCCCAATTCAATGAATTGCATTAACTGTCACTAAGGTTGATGACCATTATCTGAGATACATACCTACATCTCGAAGTTTCTTCCCCATCATCCTATCATCAGTTGAAAAGAAATTGAAAATAAGAGCCATCTCTCATCCACCTCACTCTCACTCATCCATCCCCCGAGCATCGTCACCATGGCTCGTCCATTCAATAAGAGAAAGAAAAGAAAAAAGAAGAAGAAGAAGAAGACGCCCGCCCTACATCCCTTGGGTATACTCAAACAAGCACAATGAAGCGAAGAAAAAGAAAGAAACAAGAACCGAACACCATCAACACCATCAGCTCACTTTTTTCCCCATCCATCGTACATGAGAATCATACCACAACTTTTCAGAATAAGAAACAAGAACAGAACACAAACAACAGAATTGGAAAAACAATCGAATAACAAACAAAAGGACAAAAATATTTCCTTCCTTTTTTCCCTTTTCTCTATCAGAAAACAACAAGAAGAAAAGGAAAATAAAAAAGAAACAAGAAAGAGGTAAGCAACAATCACTTCGAACTAGAGCATCACAGTGAGATAGAGTGAGAGCTAAAGCTCATACCCCTTGGTCATAGTCATAGCTCTCTCACCAACTCTGAATCGGGCTTCAAATCCACCCCAGAAGTTAAACGCATTCCACTCAGCCGCGACTCGGACGGTATCACCAGTCCACTTGAAGACCTCAATCTCCAGAATCTCGCCCTTGTCGCTCTTGCGCGAAGTCATATACTTAGGACCGACGATAAGACCGCGTCCGTACGCAAGACCATAGCCCAGAGCTTTCTCTTCATCATCGTCGCTTCGCTCAGGGTCAACGTTGAAATCAATGAACCCGACCTGCTCATTGTGCTCATCGACCTGGTTAAGACCGTTGCAGGTACCTGCGTACTGGAGGTAGACTCGCCACTTAGCATCGTCGTCTCTGAATCGGTGGACGGTCAAGTGTTCGTCCATCTCATTATCATCATCGGACTCGGGAGTGCTATGTTGAGTGGCGGTGCTTTTCTTTTCCACGATCTTGCGCATCTGGTCCACTTTGTCGCAGTCTAGAGCGAGGATCATAGCTCCCTGCAGTTTTCCCAGAGAGAAGGTTGCGCGCGCGGCGGGATCGTTGCGACGGGGTGCGTTGATGTCGAGAGAGAAGTCCTCGTAACCCCAGGGATCGATGGCGTTGCAGCGGATGACATATTGGCCCTGCAGCTGGCTCAATCTCAACGCCGAAGTGTTGTTGTTGGGCTTCACGCACTGCTTGAACAGGGTATGGCGACTGAGCTTGGACTGCCACACCAGAGAGATGAGAGTATCGTCGTACATCTTCTCATTCATACTGGCGGCGTGGATCTTCGAGACTACACCGGTGAGCTTGTCTGCGTACTCGCTCCAGGTAATAAGTGTCCAGGTACCGCCTCGACCGGGGGTAGTCGCGATCAAAAGACCGTTGATATTGGCCACTTCCTTTCTGAGTTTCTCGCGCACGTCGAAATACAGCTGGGGCATAAGCTGCACGGGCTCCACGGTTCTGTCACGAGCAGGGACACCCATTTCATAGGGATAGTCAAGCGACAGGAAATACTTGGCCAGGAAGCGGCAGTGATCAAAGTTCGCCTCAAAGGTCGGCACATATTCCTTGACGTGGTTCTGTGACAGACTGGCGAAGCCTGCATCCAAGCCTTCTTCGAAGGTGTCTGCCCATCCGATGACGGTGGCCGGGTGGCTGATGTGGAAGCTCAGACCGGGGATGGAGAGAGCCGTGCTCACGAACTGCTGGTTATAAACATTGTGCAAGACAATGGCCTCTGTCTGCTTGGATTTGTCCGGCACTCCGTTCTCCTTGTCGAGGAAGTACTTGGCCATAAAAAGAAAAGGATCGAACAGAGCTTCGTCAGAAGGAGAGACCTGACGAGCGAACTTCTTCTTCCGCCACTCAGCCTTTTGCTGCTGATAGGCCTCCTGCACGGCATTGTACATGTCGTACATGGTTTTGTCGAGAAGGCGGACCGAAGGCGACTCGTAGCTGCACTGTTCGTCTTTGGTCAGCCTTTTTGTCTGGAACCGAGAGGGTGGAGGAGTGTTACCTTTCCGTCTTTGTACTCTCTTTCAAGGAGAGCCAGCAGCTGAGCTATAGTATTAGATGGCTGATAGGGGATGCCGAAGTGTTGGAGCTGGGCAGCTATCCACCGCTTCACGGGCCTTCTGCTGGGTGCAGTGACCGGATTCGTGGGGAAGAGTGTTGCCAGCGTCTGGGATGATGCTCTGGGGATGTTTGCTACGGTGACTCCGTAGTCATCATAGGTGTATGGTCCGTATCTCACGAAGGAGGGACGCTTCGGGAATGCACTGTCCATGATGATTGACTATCTGTATACCAGTGATGGATAGATAGATAGTTTTTGATGGAAGCGTATGCGGATGAGAGATGAGGAATAAGATGACAGATGAGATGATCAGGAACTTCACCTTGTAGAAGAAGAAGAAGAAGCTGTGTTTGTGCGAGAAAGATAATGCCCTCATTATCTGTTGTATACAACGCGTCTACAAGCGAGACGCGTTGCCTCTTCTGGGACATCAGTGATTTTTTTATTCACGCAGTTGGCACTACGCCACGTGATGGCTGCTCTTTACTATGAGGGGATTTGGCTACAGGGGGCATGTACTGTGTTTGTAGCTGTGTGAGTTCGAGCATTTTACGAAAATTGGAGTGAGTTAGAGGCTTCAAGTAGTGTAGAGTGTGCTGGAATGAATATCTTATAACGGAGGTCTCGGCGTAGGGTTACTTGAAGTATAACTGCAGCTCTGTATACAAATCGACGGCGTTGACAGTAGTGGTGATCACGCCTTGCGCACAACTATGTTTATTGTTCATAATCATAATCACTGCATATTTATGTAACATCCAATATCTCCGCAATCCTTCATATTATACTCTGATCTCCGACCAACCCCAGATGAAGCTATCCAGAAAGCCGACGAAGTCCGTCCATGCCGGCTTTAGGTTCGGAAGCCGACAGCCACACACACTAAATCCCCGGAGATCGACTTCGGCCCACCACCTCCGCTGTCCGGTCCTGCCAATCACCATTAATTCCAGTGGGAGCCATGATGGAAACCGGTCTATCAAAGTATATAAGAGTTATGACGACCAGTTCAATATACTCAATCCAATCCAAACTCAACTGATCTCAGTCCAACATATACAATACAAACTCAGCTGAACTCAACCCAATCCAGTACAGTTTGAAGCAGAATGTCCTTCCCATACAAGCACATCCTCGTCATCGGCGCCACCGCCGGCATCGGCCGAGCTCTCGCATCGCGCTTCGTGCAATCCGGAGCCAAAGTCACAGTCGTCGGACGACGCAAAGAGCGCCTCGATGAATTCGTGCAAGAACACGGAGAAGACAAGGCCAACGCGGTGCAATTTGATATTAGTAATTTGGATAAGATTCCTGGGTTCGCTGCCGAGTAAGTTTCGCTGCCTTGATATACTATGAAGTACCGCATCTAGATTGAATGAATGGCTGATTAGACTATCTTCAATAGATTAATGACCAAATACCCCACAATCGACAGCGTCTTCCTGAACGCCGGCATAATGCTCCCTACTGACATGACCGATCCCGAGAAATTCGACCTCTCCAGCTTCTACAAGCAAATGCACATCAACTTCACCAGTTATGTTGCTCTGACGCATGCTTTCTTGCCTTATCTTACCAAGAAAGGGGGTGATACGAGCTTGATTTAGTGCGTACCTCTTTATCTCTTCCAGGCTGCACCACCAGAATGCAATGAAATGTACTGACCATAAAACAGCACCACATCCAACCTCTCCATAGTCCCTGCGACCTGGATGCCCGCATACTCTGCCTCCAAGGCTGCCCTGAACGCCTTCATTCTCTGTCTGCGGGATCAGCTGCGTAAGAGCTCGGTGAAGATTATTGAGGTGTCGCCGCCAGCGGTGCAATGTGAGTCTAAACCCCCAATTCTCTGCTTCTACTGCCATTTCGTTCACTAGTTGTCCTAGATATATATATCCTATCTGACTAACTATCTCTGCAGCCGAACTCCACGATTATATGGGCGAAGAGGGCCGTAAAGTCGGTATGCCCCTGAAGGAATTTACGGATGAAGCATTTCAGGGACTACTGGACGGAAAGGACCAGATCGTTGTGGGAAGTCTTGGGCCTGCAGAAGTGTTCTTGGATATCGTGAATAAGCGCCGGGCTGCGACTACGCAGTTGGCGAAGATGATGAGGGGGGAGAAGTAGATGGGGGATGGATTTCGCTGAGCCTTGGACTCACAAAATATATAACAATTGGTGTTAAATAGCAATGATACGATACTAATTACCTGGTCTCAATGCAAACTACGTAGCGACAACAAACGAACTCAACGTCGCAATCTTCTCCGCCAACACCCTCACCGGCTGTGCCCCGATAAACTCAAACGAGGACAACTCTGCGCCCATCTCGCGACTGACCCAGTTCTGTACCTCCGCGGCTTTGAGCGAGTCAACTTCAAAACCCCAAGCGTCAGCATAATCCCGAAACAAATTAAGGTATAGTCAAAATACTCACCACCCAACGCCGAAAAAGGCAACTCCAAATCAATAGCCTCCGCCGACGACGCCATCGCTCTGGCCAAATACTCCTGCAGCGCCTGATTCACGACGCGCACCGCCTCGTCCACCGACTCCGCCTTCTTCAGCAACGTGCTGGTCTTAACCACGCCAGCTCCTGCATCCTCATCAGCAACAACTTGTATCCGGTGATCGAACTTGCGATCGAATTGCCAGGAAGCTGCCCCATCGGTTCGCGGTAGGGTGTCCGTCAGTCCGGCGATAATTTGTGCTGGGACTGGGGTGATCTTCTGGACTATCACCCGCAGTAGAGTTTGAACCTCATGCTGCAGAATCTCTGTACCCTCTATGTGTCGGTATCGCTGGCGTCGCTGCTCGGGTGTTTCGGCTACGTCGCCCACTCCGCTGGCGTCTGGGACTAGGCCAATGTTGATACTATGTCCTGGTAGGTGGTGCTTGCGTCGCCAGGTCATCAGAGCGTCCATGTACCCGTTGCCGGCTGCGTAGTTGGCCTGGCCAATGTTTCCGATTATGCTGGATATGGATGATAGAGTCACGAAGAAGTCTAGCGGGGTGGAGTAAAACGCCTCGTGGAGGTTCCATGTCCCCTGGATTTTGGGCTCGGTAGATTGCTTCCACGCGTCGAAGTCCATGTGCTCGAACATGCCGTCCTGGTAAGGCGGAATTAGCTTTGAGGAAATCTACTGGGCTGCGATTCGATTTACCTTCAGAACAGTTGCACATTGCACGATACCACGAACACGCCAGCGACTTTTTTCAGCTCGGGTCAACAGACTTTCCACATCCTCTTGACAGGTCGCGTCACAGCGCACGACATCAGTACGCGCACCTCGGTCTTGAAGCTCTTTCAGCGCAGTTTGCTGTGTCTCCCGAACAGCCCCAGAGCGGCTCAAGAAGACAAAATGACGGGCTCCGCAGTCAACAAGCGTATTGGCTAGTGCAATCCCGAGAGTGCCCAGTCCACCGACCAGGATGTAGGTATTCTTCGCAGGCAGAGAGGCAGGATCTGGGAGGGCTGGCACAATTGGCACCTGACCCGGAGCCTGGAGATCGACAATCGCACGGGTACCGCTGTCTCGCGCATGAGCAACGGCATCTCTAACCTGAGAAACAGGGAAGGATTGATAAGCCTGAACGCTGGCGAGGGCGTCTGATCCGAGAAGATCCACTGCGCGATGGAAGTTGGCCTGCAGCTGACGGGGGGCTTCGCGGAGCATCTTTGATAACCGTACGGAGCTGACAGTGCACCCACGGTCAACGAACGTCTGAGGCAGGGCAGCCAGGTTCAGCTCCTCACTGAGATCGACCAACCGGCCGCTGTAGGCCAAGCAACGCGCTGCAAGTCGACTGACAGAACCTCCTAGACAGCAAACGCTCAGCTCCACTCCTTTGCCCCCAGTCAGCCGTTTGACTGTTGTGTCAAGCTCCCTGTGAATAGGAATGATTCTCTCATGCAATCCTACATATTTAGAGCGCATCTCATTAACCCCATTCTCGCCATCGATTGCCACGTACACCTGCATACCCGCAGCCAGAGCACAGTCAACCGTGGCTCGCAGGGTCTGGCTAACGGAGCCAACTATGAGAACAGATGAAGCAGAAGCTCCGGAGCTGCCGAAGAGGCTGGTGTAGGCACCTGCAAAAGCCACCGGCATGGACACTGATTGTGTCTGGCTCTGCTGTGATGGCGAATTTCAGATAGCACTTGCTGGGAGGCGAACATGGGTAGTTAAAGCACTGGGCCACGCATCACTGGGTATGGCACACAAGACTTCGTCTCCCACTTGGAATTCTGAGCCAATAGACGATCCAACCTGGCGAACAATTCCGACTGCTTCTATGGCCGCAATACGCGCCTCCGGAGAGAGACCGCTCTTACTGGCGGGCTCAGTGATGGACACCTTATGTAGCTGCACCTCAACTAAATCATCGGGTAAGGCCGAATTCAACGGTTCATCCAGCTCCCACCGGGCGTCACTGATATCCTGCGACTTAGTGCAGAGGCGCAGCGGTCTCGAGTCCTGCGCGAGCTCTGCTAGCGTAGGGCGCGGGCCATGTAAGAGAGCATCCATGCTCTCATCTACTGCACGAGCCGTGATAGCCCGCGGCACAAGCAGACAATTGTCTTGCATATAGAACTCCCAGTCGTGTGGCCGTGACCGAGGTTTCAATGTTAGCTGCAACACGTGTGCGATACTGCGCGCCAAATTGTGAGGATCCTTATCCTTTCCGGACACAAGTAATTGAGGCAGCACGGTATGGGGATTTTCATTGCGTACGGTCCGCAAAAGCCCAGTCGTAGCCCCGAAGCCTGCATAGCCGGACGCCTCATGCCCCGGGCACTGTGAAATCCAGAGGAGACACTTTGCCTGTAACAGCGACTGAAAGCGTGATATCTCATCGGGCGTCCAATTCACTGTCCATGGACGATCTAACTCGAGCAGTGAGATGATCATTTTCTCCTTTAGATCGGGAGCTTTATCGACATCCACCAGCTCAATCTTAGAACCGAGCTTGCTTACGACACCATCCAGCTCATACAAGAGAGAACCGACCGACTCAGCCGCTGCGCTGCTTAGTATGTAGATAGTGGGATCCAACTCAATCGGAGCAAGTTGACGACGGATGAGAAGATACCCAGGCTGCTCAATCGAGCCCTGTACTTCCCAGTCCGCATGGCCCGCATTGCGAATGGCCGCATCGTGGTTTTCAGCAGTCGCTCGAGCGGCAATCCAAGAATCAGGCCTAGTAATCGAAAGCAAAGTGTTGAAAAATGCTTTTGCATTGTCTCCACTCCAGACATCGGGATGATCAACAATGATCGCATCATAGGCGGTTTCGCCCAGCAAGTCCGTGCCTATATCCTTCAATGAGGCAACTGGCAGAACCTGACACCCATCTAGGGATTCTTTAATGACCTTAACCTGGTTCGTTGATGCCTCTGTGTCAGGGTCAGATAGCACAATGGTGAGCTTTTGGAGTCGAGGTCGATGACTGCGTTTTGGCGCATATTTCTTGAGAGCTTCAACTACCTGACCTATGTCTTTGGTAGTCACCACAAGGACACAAGCATCTCCATGAGTGTGGCAGACCCGGCCAAGCCAGCACTGCAGATCACCGGAGCAACGGCCTTCTAGACCACCGAAAGAATCCACGTGCTCAGCCCAATGAAGTGTCGAGAATCGGCTTTGCTGGATCTCCTCTTTGGTCGAGATGCCGGACCGCGTAGGCACGCGACCTAATCGCACCCCTTGCAGAACCACTCCAGGCTGCTGCCAGGATGGGTCCGAAGCGATCGACTCCGTGAATGACACGCCGTTCTCATAGCGTGTCTCGACATGGACATCGAATCGGTCACCAGGCTGCAAGGAGAAGGCCGTCGAGAGATAAAGGCGCTCTACACCCACGGGGATATTGGCATTGTGATTGGACAGGGCATCTGAGCATGACACCACAGCAGCCTGGAAGAGACTGTCCAGAGAGGTGGGATGGACAAGACATGGAGATTCACGCTCATATGGCATCGTCTGCTTAGTGTTCGGTGCAACTCCAGTAACGTACAGACGAGACTCCGAGTCAAAAGCTACACCAGCCATGGACCGGAAGGTCGGCCCCAAAGTGACGCCGCCCGTTTCTGACAGCCATTCATAGACGGCCTCGATCTCAGCCTTCTTTGCCAAAGCCTGCGTCTGTCGCACCCGTTGTACAGTGCATTGCCAGTCTGCAGCACATCCAACTCCATCCTCATCAGCATACTGTGGAGCAAAAGCACCTTTCGCATGCTGAACCCAGGAGGAGTTCTCGGGCAAGGAGAAGATGCCGAATTCGTACCATCCATTCATGCCGTGATGCGGCGCGACATGGAGAACTATTTCCAGGCCCCGTTCGTCTGGAGGAATTACAACTCCCCGGAAAAAGTCCAAATCGTAAAACTCAATCCCCTCTAACCACTTCGTAGTGTCTGCAAGCTGACGGGCTGCCTCTGCGACCATGGACACCATCCCTGCTGCTGGATATACTATAGAGCCAGCGACCACATGGTCCGCAAGCCAGGGCAGTTCCGACACCCGCAGGAAGTTACGCCACCGCGGCTCCAGCTCGTTCTGGTAGTCCCAAGGCATACCGAGGAGGTCATGACGAGGTTCTTTGCGCTGTCGCAGCCGGGCTGATTCCAATGGCTCGTGCCAGAAGGTGGACTGATGATTCCAGGCATAAGATGGAAGGTCTCGGCTCACCTGTGGCCTTCTGCTCTCCAGAAAGCTTTGATTTGCTGTATCTAGGTTGATAGCATAGCCCAAACACCACAGGAGCCCGGCAACTTGGAGGGCTGTCTGTCGAGAATCCTGCCTGCGGAGCACCAAACTCCTGTAAGGAGTGGAAGCCAAATCAGCATTGGCTTCCTGCAGGGTCTGGTTGAACGGCCCTTTAAGAGCTTCGTGTGGGCCAATCTCCAAAAAGCCTGCCCATTTGACTGGGACCACTCGTCGTCTCCCTCGCCCTCTGCCAGCCTCGGTCATGGTAACGACTTTGGTCACTGCCGCGGAAAACTCGACTGGGCTGACGAGGTTGCGCACCCAGTATGACGCGTCTACATCCGTTGCTTGCAAGAGCTCTTTTGTGACAGATGAGAACATAGATATGGAGCCTTTGTACTTGTCGACTGGCTGAATGGATTCAATGGCTGCCTTATAGTCATCAGCCAACGCTCTCATATGCGGTGAGTGGTAAGCAGTGTCCACGCACAGCTTGCGCGCAAAACAGCCATCCGCTTGCAAGCGCTTCTCAAGCAGGTTGATTTCTTCTATATTGCCGGAAAGAGTGACACTCGATGGGCTGTTCACACAGGCTACCACCACGGACTCCGGGGGTAAGGTCTGCAAATATTGCTGCGCATCAACGGCGGAGATGCCGGCAGCGAGCATACCGCCGCGGCTTTCACTCTCAGCAATCCGTTGAGACAGCACGCCACGGAAATACGTGATTCGAATGGCATCCTCATGTGTAAGATAGCCGGCCGCATAGGCAGCCCCTGGGACACATATCAGTCATTTCTCGGACAAGAGTTGGACGAATCGAGAGAAACATACCGACTTCACCACTGGAATGGCCCACTACTGCCTTAGGAGTTACCCCCCAGCTGCGGAGCATGTCTACCAATGCCACCTGTAAAGCACAGCAAGAAGGCTGACTGCGATCAGGTCGATTGATACGGCTTGTTGTCGCCCCTGCGCGGATCTCCTCGAGCAACTCCCACGAGCAGTCCAAGCTCTGCAGCACCTGCTGACTTCGTTCCATACTGGCCGCAAACACTGGGTTTGCCAGCAGCTGAACACCCATGCGTGGCCATTGAGCACCTTGGCCCGTGAAAACGAATGCTAGATGCGTCTGGTTCTTACGGCTCGCCCGAGGGAAAGCGGGCAAGCCTGCGGCCATCACATTTCGCAGCTCTGCTAGTGAGTTCACCACAGCAAAGCTGCGGAACGGAAGCTGGGATCGCCGTGTAGCCATAGTGTGTGCTACATCTAACAAGGCAATGTCTTTTCTTTTACCATCGACGCACGGATTAAGGAAACTCGTCCATTTGTCGGCCGTACGGTCTAACCCAGACTGGTCATGCGTAGATACCACAACGACCTGGGGTATCCCTTCTATGGTAGAGTCGGACGGAGCTTGCGTCTTACCAAGGTACTGAGCTGTGCTCTCGAGAATGGCATGTGCGTTGGCACCACCGAAGCCAAAAGAGTTGATGCTCGCACGTTGCGGCAAATGAGATGGCCACGGTGTGGTGCTGTTGCTTAAGCGCAAGCCCCATTCCTCCAGTCGAATCTTAGGGTTCAGGTTCGAGAAGCCTGCGTTAGGAACCAGCATCCCCTTTTCTAAGCAAAGAACCACCTTGATAATACTAGCCACGCCCGCAGCACCCTCGGTATGCCCTAGGTTACTTTTGACGGATCCGACGTAAACTGGCTCACCACCTGGCGTTCGCGCGGCTCCGAAGCTTGCTCCAATAGCAGACAGTTCAGTAGGATCCTACGTGACGTTGTTAGTACATTATCACGGAACAATGAGTCTTATACTAACACCAATAGCTGTCCCAGTCCCATGGGCTTCAAAGTATGAGGTATCTCCCATCGACAATCCAGCTCGAGAATAGGTTGATCTGATCAAATCAGCCTGGGCGGTTGCATTCGGCATGGTAATTCCCGGGGTACGTCCATCCTGATTAGAGCCAGTAGCGCGAACGATTGCTCTAATCGTGTCACCGTCTGCCATAGCCTTGGACAGGGGTTTAAGTAAGATTGCGCCGAATCCCTCACCCCTACCGTACCCATTAGCTTTGCTATCGAAAGAGTGACTGATACCATCGGCACTGAGCATATGCATATACGACAACCGCTGGGTAAAATTCGGATGCAATATCAGGCTTGCTCCGGTCACCAGCGCCTAAAACAATCAGTCATCATCATAAAATCGCATATGACAGCTCACTTACCTGGCTACATTCGCCTGCCCGTAGTGCCTGGGTAGCCAAATGCAGTGCCGTCAAGCTAGATGAACAAGCCGTGTCCATCATGATGCTGGGACCACGAAGATCGAAGAACCATGAAAGGCGGTTAGCCAGCATAGTTCTCCCATTACCCGTAGCTGAGTTATGTGGCATGTCCATGATATCTCGGGTTGAAAGCAGCTCGTAGTCATTGGTCATGCATCCGCTATAGACGCCGGTTGCACTACCAGGGAGGGTTTCCATCGGAACGCCGCCTGGGTTCATGACTCAGCTAATCATTCCCTGCGACTCTGTGCAGAACTTACTTACCATTTTCAAAAGCTTCATACGCCACTTCAAGCAGAATGCGCTGAACAGGATCCATGCCTGCAGCTTCCTTGGACGTGATGGAGAAAAAGGGTGCATCAAAGCGGGATGGATCCTCGGCTAGAAAGAAGCCACTGTCGTGATTGATCTGATGATAGATCATAACCTCGTGGTTAGTTTCACCCTGAAGCGGTTAAAATCAATGCAGAACATACAGCCCCTTTGCGCTCGTGACTGGGATGTTCCCAGGCTGAGGCTTGATAACGACTAGCAGGAACACGCCCATGCTCCCTTCGACCCAGGCGCAGCATGTCCCAGAATCCTTCAACAGAAGATGCTTCGCCTGCAAAGCGACAGCCCATGCCAATGATCGCAATTGGCTCTGGGCCAGAAGAGCCTCTGGCTTGCTCTTCCATTGTGATTGATGTCATAAGATAGCTTGTTTGTTAAATCCGACTTCAAGTGTATGAAACCTTTTCCCTGGCTTTCCTTTGAATAACTCTTGCTCTAGCTCTCGGCCTGGGTCCTCTATCAGCTTCGATATATAAGTAATATACTACTTCCATAATGAAATTTGACTCCGAAAAGTGACGTTATAGCAAACTGCTGTTAGAACGGCCGCGGCATTAAACATTCAGGCATGTAATGCAGGATCCCAAGAAGGGTAATTGAACGACATATGACGCAAGGACTGCTAGCTAGTTGTGGTCCAGATTTATCCTTGAGTTCTTGAACTATGTTTGATCGTCGTTGCTGGATCAGGACTGGTTTTAGTCGTTTTCTATTGAGGCGATTCCTTGACAGACTATCTCGTCATCGCGTCAAGCGGATCCATAAAATCTGTTGCTATATAGAAGTGGTAAGGCTGCTGACTGGTGCCCTCAGTAGCTGGGTCTCGAATCCATATCAAGGGTCTGATACGTTCCATACCACTATCACACAGTGATTTGAGTTTACACTTGCAGGTTAGCACTCACTAGACACAAGAATCATGGGTGTTCAGCGCGCTGTCATTGTCCGAGAGCGTGGTCAAGTTACTTTGGCCGATGATGTGCCAATACCCGCCCTGCCTGATGACTATATCCTGGTGAAGACGCAAGCAGGTAAGTGTGAGCCTGGTCTCTAGTATCTGGGCGCAAGTTGACGAGAGAATATAGTGGCCTTGAACCCAACGGACTGGAAACACGTTGACTTCGACTCGTGCGCAGGAACAGTCGTCGGCTGTGACTACGCCGGTGTCGTCGAGGCCATCGGACCACGAGTCACGAAGCCTTGGAAGAAGGGGGACCGTGTTGCCGGCTTTGTGCACGGGTGTAACGTGATGCAGCCTCAAGGAGGTGCATTTGCGCAGTATGTCATCGCGAAAGGGGACATACAATTCAGGGTGCCGGAATGGATGGGCATTGACAGAGCCGCTTGCTTGGGCGTCGGCATAATGACTATCGGTCAGAATCTGTACCAGTCCATGCAGCTGACTGACCCTAGAATGGTATGCAATGATAAGATCACGGATCTGCAGAGAGACGAGAAGGGGAATGATGAGGATATCCCTAGCATCCTGATCTACGGTGGTGCAACCTCGACAGGCTCTCTCGCAATCCAATTTGCAAAGCTATCGGGGCTGCGCGTCGTCACAACGTGCTCAGAAGTTAATCGTGCCTGGATGCATGAACTGGGTGCGGATATCGTACTCGACTATCACGATCCTCATGTAGGTGACCAGATCCGCGAGGTTACCGATGATACCCTTGAGCTAGCTTTCGATACAATATCCACTAATCAGTCGGCTGCTATATGTGCTGCTGCCCTTTCATCCTCCGGGGGCTGTTACAATGCACTACTGGACGTACGCTGTCCTCGAGGCGACGTTGATACTCATGTTTCCATGGCATATGATATGATTGGGGAGCCGTATCTGATGGGAGGCAAAGAAGTCCAGGCTCAGCTCGAGAAACTCTCGTACGGGACTCAATGGGTGAATGCCGTTGAAATTCTCCTGCAGAGCCGCCAAGTCGCTCCTCCTCGGTTCCAGGTCAAGCCTGGAGGTCTGGCTGGCGTTCCTTCGGCGTTGGATTGGCTGCGGAAAGGCAAGGTGCGGGCCTCTAAGTTGGTGTATATTGTCGATGAGACTCGTGAAACTGCGAGGCTGGAAATTCCAGGTTAGCCATGAGGTCAACCACCTACCTTTTTAGTATTCGAGGTTGTACAAGGTGTTTTGGAGAATGGATCAAGCTGAGTGGACTCAGCAACAGCGGGACCATCCATCAGACAGGAATAGTATCTCCAGAATTGTACCTTTCTTAATGTCCTTCGCGATCGCCAGGTAGATATACTGCGATATCATTGGATGATTAGAGCTGCTATGCAGACTGTACAGACATTAGCCCAATAAGATCCGCCGGAGGTTTTTCATCAGAATTCCAACAAGTGGAGATCGCACGCAAGGGCCAAGTGCCCGTGAGCGCCCTTGTCAGGAAGATAATAGAACTTAAATGGATAGATGTATTGGCTTGCTGTATCAGCAACATCACAGAGTTTGGGCAGAACGGCAAGATAATGTTCGTCTAGTAGTAACTCACCGGCTCACTTGCCTCCTCAATAGCCCTTTACCATCATTAGTAGGTCGTTGGAATGCCACTAATTCATTCGATAATATCCGTGGGGCGAGCCATGGTCATACGGCTGTGATCGACAACGTTTGTGTCACCACCTGGCGTCGTGAAACGATAAATCAGCGTCGCTGTAACTTCTCTTCAAACATAGTTTGCCTATGATTTGTGAACAGTATGGTCTTCCTGCATACTTCCCATGAAACTAGATCAGGCATCTATCTGCTGACCTCGACACCCACATCATAGAGAACGTCAGCCTCTGCAAGGACATCCTTGTTATGCAATTAGCTTACAAAGTATGATTATTCCTGCCATGGCACTGGTTGCTTGGTCATGAAGCCCGACACGAGTGTCTTGGAGCCCTATAAAATCCATTGGTAGAGTGAACAAAGTGATGCGACTCGAAACAGCCTTGCTGGCCTGTCTAACCGTGTCCAACCGCATCTTCTACTGGTAAAATACCGTACCAAAAGCAGCAATCAGAATGAAAATCCTCTGCCTACATGGCTACGGCACGGGGCCTAATATTCTGCGATATCAACTTTCGGGGTTGATGCGAGATGCTGACCCAAGCTGGGAGTTTCATTTTCTCTCAGCTGAAGTTGAATGTCCGCCTGCTCCAGGTATGTTGTTCGTCAGTCATTTATCGCAAATCAATTGTTGCTAACCATCAGCTTCATCAACCGAATATAGATATTGGGAGCACTTTTCCACCCCCATACTACTGCTGGACGCGGTCGTTTGACGCAGGGTCAATCGATGCTGCCCATGCCTTGATCGAAGAGGCTATTGATGAGCATGGCCCTTTTGACGGAGTTTTGGGGTTCAGTCAAGGAGCTGCAATCTCGGTTTCGTTCCTGCTCGAGCACAAAACGGCATACCCAGATGAGCCCCCACCATTTCGTTTCGCAATCTTCTATTCGCCCACGATTCCGTGCGCCGCGGATGAAGCTTATTGTCGGTCTGTACTCGGAACTCTCTCGTCAGCGGACCAGCAACGCCTCCGCTCCGGAAAGGATAAAGAGATTGCACAGCTTCCGGAACCGGTTCGCTCTGTGACCGAGAGTTTGGTTGAAGTCATCAAGGGAGCCCACTCTATAACACGCGAATCGGTGCCTTTCTTCATCGACCGCCCGCTTGAGCTTATCCCATGTGCCCTGCACCCAGATGTAGTACCGACACGTATATCAATTCCTTCTCTCCACCTTCGTGGCAAGAACGATGTGCCAGGTCTGGACGATTGTGGCCTCCTCGTCGAGTGTCTTTGTGACTCGAATACTAGGAGGCCAATCATACATTCGGCTGGTCATGACATCCCTCGATCAGGGCCAGAGTTAAAGCAAATGCTTTCTGCCGTGGAATGGGTTGTGGCGAAGAGCCAGTTACCATTGCTCTAATGCATCGTTCACCCACCTATCTGCCGCCTGGTATTCGCATAAAGTTAATCGAGATGCGGTTGCACTGTGCTTATCGTGACGTAATCCTATAAGTTCTCGTCGTAATTATCACGGAGTTAGCGTTGGCCCCTTTGAAAGTTGCCCTAGTGACACCAGCTTGCCTGCGTGTATGCTATGCCAGCGTTGCCGGTTATAGACGGCTGGAGCAATTCGCAAGAAGTCGAGAAAGGAAAGTCCTTGACGTCAGGCATACCTTCCATATACAGATCTGCAGAGTGTAGCGAGAGCCTTTCTCGTACTGCAAGGGATGAAGGCTGCAGCCATCTGAATTTGGCGATCATCGAGTCTATACCACGGTTGATGTAAGTCACGTATCTGTGGTTTTCCCTGCGGAATGATGGAGTGGGGTAGTATAATATATAAATTGGTCTAAAAAGTCTTTTTTGCAAAGAACGCTTATTATCAGCATCACTGGATTGTATAGACAGCAACATGGGCTCCGCTGATAGTTCAGGACGGCTTTTAACCCAGCTGGTAGATCAACAAGCGAAGGATCAGCCCAATCGCTTGTACTGTCTGCACCCCAGCTCCCAGGATGCTGACTGTGAATGGCGTTGTATAACGTTCCAGCAGCTGTCTGCTGCTGTGAACCGTGTATCATGGTGGATTGACAGCAAGATTTCTGGAAGAAAGCAGCAGGTTCTTGCCTATATCGAACGAATGACTTGCGATACTTGGTTTTTGAGCTAGCTTGCATGAAAACAGGCCATGCGGTATGACCTTCTCACATTCCTAGTTGGAGATGCCTGTTTCACAGTATCGATGCTTGTTTCTGACTGATAGGCTTAGGCGTTACTTTTATCCACCCGCAACTCACAGACAGCCTTTCATCATTTGCTGCTAAAAACGAGCTGCTCAGTGCTTGTGGATGGTAGCGAGCGACCCCAGCTAAAGAAAGTTGTCGACCAGGTTGAAGTCGCTTGTTCTGATCTCGGGTTACAACGATGGCGCATGGATCCCGTTGGGGATGTCTTTGCAGCATCTCCTGTCACACCATATCCCCATCAAGAGAATTTCGCAGATATAGAAGACCGTCCAGCTATCATAATTCACAGCTCGGGGACTACGGGTCTCCCCAAACCGGTAACTCTTACCCATGGGTATCTAGCAACGCTAGATCAGATGCAAACTCTTCCCGTGCCTCAGGGTCGTGAATCCGCCCAGTTGTTTCTGCGACATAAAGGTGAGATGCGATTCAGCCACGGACCATTATTCCACTTTATTGGCATAGTATGCGTTTGTGAATGCATATTCTACGAGACACCTTTTTTCCTGTCCCCAGATCGACCTCTAACCCCGGATCTCTTCTCACGGATTATGGCAACTCCCAACCCACCTCGATGGTGTTTAATCGCTCCGTTTGCATTGCAGGATCTTTGGTCGTCTGAAAAGGGACGACAGGCGCTGCAGGGCTTGTCTGCCGTGAACTTTGGTGGCGCACCACTGTCCAGCGCCACGGGGAACGCAATTTCATCACATTTTCGCCTGCAGACATTGATGGGTAGCAGTGAGACCGGTTACACACCAACACTTCTTTGTGAAGACCCCGCGGACTGGGCATGCTTCGAATGGAATCCCGCCTTCGAACATTGCATGGAGGAAGTCGGTGATGGACTGTGGGAGTTGGTCATCCCTCGACCTTCGTCCCGTCGGTATCATGGCATATTTCACGCCTTTCCACATCTTAGCGAATATCGAACGGGTGATCGTTTTGAACCTCATCCAACAAAACCGCACTTATGGCGGTCAAAGGGGAGGGCAGATGACATAATTGTTCTAAGCAACGGCGAAAAGCTCAACCCTATTGATGCCGAGCACCATCTTGAGTCCCATTCCTTAGTCCATCGCGCTGCCATTTTCGGCCAGGATCGATTCCAAGTGGCTTTGCTGGTTCAACCTAAATGGGATGAGCTCCCGGAGACATGGACCCCGCAATGGCTGAAGCAGGCTCTGGAGCCCCTCATGAAGGATGCCAATGGCTTGTTGCCTGCCCACGGACAAATCCATCATAATCGTGTCGCAATTGCCTCTCGTGGCCGGCCATTTGCACTGGCCCCTAAGGGGTCCCTTCGCCGGCGAGAAACAGCTCAGCTCTATGAGGATGTTGTCAATGCATTATATAGTGATGCAGCAGGGTACGAAGGCTCTACCCGCGACGTGAAAAAATTGCAAGAGTCGACTATGGAAGGCATCAAGCAGTGGCTACAAGAGACCGTTTCTCGGATCTTGGGTGGCATTACTGTGGATATAGATGTGGACATTGTCACTCTAGGGATGGATTCCCTTCAGGTAGTTCGACTCGCCCAGGTACTGCAAGATGCGACCGATCGCATGGGTCAAACCAAGCAAATATCTATGTTGTGGACTAGTGCAGCCATCTATGAGCAAGCGACGGTCCGGCGCCTCGCAAGTACGCTGTTTCGACAAATAGGTGGCCATCTTGGAGCGGAAGGGGAGAAACACGCAGTGAGCTTTTGGTCACGAGAGCATCAATTGACACACGCAATCTGGCAGCAGGCACAGAGCCTTCAGCTCCGCGGGAAGACGGTCCTTCTGACCGGTTCGACTGGTGAGCTTGGCAGTTATCTCTTGGAGGAGCTGCTGCAGGATCCGACCATCACACATGTATATTGCCTCAATCGTTCGGCAGATGCGGAAACCCGACAGCTCGCTAAATTCCGTGAAAAGCGGTTAGCTGATGGCTGGCTCGTGGAAACTTCTCGAGTCAAATTCTGGCAGGCTGACCTGAGCCAGGAAAGGCTTGGGCTAACTGAAGAGGAATATAGTTACTTGCGGGAGCGAGTGGATATCATATTCCATAATGCGTGGATGGTGAATTTCAATCTGCCATTGTCCAGCTTTCGTTCTCAACTGGAAGGGACGGGACGGCTTCTCAACCTAATCAAGGGCTCAGCACGTCAGGCAGCATTCCATTTCATTTCTTCCATCGCGGCCGTTAGTGGTCGCTCTACCATCCTGCCTGAAACTGATCACATTGCAGAAACACTGCATGGACCGTCAACAGTACTGAGTCAAGGCTACGCAGAATCGAAATACGCAGCAGAAGTTCTCTGTGACCTCGTCGCGAGGGAAACTCAACAGACGATTGCTATTCATCGTGTTGGTCAATTGGGAGGACCTGCAGATGCTGAGGCAGGAATGTGGACGACACGAGACTGGTTTCCGGCACTGGTACGAACATCTCAGACGATGAAAGAGCTGCCTGACAGTATTGGTTCAATCCCAGTGGATTGGGTGCCCATTGTATGTGAGCCACTTCCCGAATATGTTCCTAGGAAATCTGTAGTGTACTAATTCTGTAGGATGTTGCTGCTCGGAGTATTGTCCAAATCGGCTGCGGGAAACATAGTGGTCGACTAGCTTCCACAGAGTCGAACCATGCAGAGGTTTATCATATCACAAACCCACATATTAGTCACTGGGAGCCATTGGCACAGATTATCAGCCAAGCCTGTTCCACCAAGATTATTCCGCTCAGGGTATGGGTAAAAAACCTCACGAACCGGCTATCTGACCCGAATCTCAACGAGGAGGTCTTGCGGAAAATTCCTGCGGCATCGCTGCTAGGATTCTTCACGTCACTAGCTGAACCTGAGGGTTGGATACGTCCTCCTGCGGACACCACCAATGCTCAGAAGCATAGTGCAGCTTTGCGAGCGTTGGGTCCGGTGGATGCATCGCTGATGAAAGTGTGGTTGCGACAGTGGAGCGACTGGATTCCTGAGCTGCGAGTTTAGCATTATTCCGAGGCTATACTTCTCTCATTGGGCCGGACCCCGAAAGCAACATGTCATGGAATATCGGGTTGTTGATGGTGTGATGCAGGCGGCGCGTCAAGTCTAAAAGCAATGATAGAGGAAGGTAAAGCGTAGGATAACAACGGCATGAGGTCAGGTGATGTGTTTACCTACGCAGGCTTCTCAGCATAACATAATCATGGATCAGGCTTTCAAAAATCAGCAATTCAATAAGTGAGCGATAGAGTAGAAACGATGGTGATGCGCTATTAACATTTTTCCCCGATGATTAGCCGTCGGGACCACCGAGTACTACAGTAGGGACCAATCAGACCACCTATAGTGGTCTACTGGAGGGGTGTTTGTCCGGGTAATCCAGTGCGCCAAAGCGATCTTTCCTAGTGTTTTAGTGTCAGCAATGATCTATTGACCCCATTTTCACCCTTCATGTTTGACTCCTATGAGTCTCCCTCTATTTGGCAATCCGTAAATGCAGGCTGACATTCCACCCAGTACCAAGTAAAACGAACTGTCTGTTTTACAAGAGATCTACTATAATTCTATATACAACAAAATGACTCCACGGCGAATGTATTCATTTCACCCCCGAGGGGTCTGGGAAAATCAATAGGGGCTGTGGCGCCGAGCTCGACAGTCTAGCGGTGGGGCCCCAGAGCCCGGGTATAGCCGGACCCTTGGACTAATACGCAATAGTCACTTATCTCCGATGTTGCTCAGATTGACCTCGGACTTCCGCTGGCCGGAGGGGAGCAGAGGAAGAAGATAAGAAAGTGAAAGAAGAAGAGCCAGGTATCAACTGAACTCACATCCATCTCGGATAGGAAGGTCCAATACTATGGTTTACGGCCCGTTCAATCCGAAGTCATTTCACGGTGTCTAACCAGTTGAACCAACTGTATGACATGCTAGCTAGTAGACAGGTACTCCACTTTTGAAAACAGGAGTCTGGCTCCAGAGTTAGCCGAGCCACCTATGACATGTTGGGATTAATGAACAAGAACTGATACAAAGCCGCAGATAACTTACAAGAGAATTACTAAAGATAAATAGTAAGCAATATACATGGCTTAGAGTCTAAGTGTTATCTTTCGATTTTGAGCAGATTAACTTACTCTATTGCCCTTTTCGATGACTTGAACAAAGTGTAGTTGGAGTCTCTATCTGATATCTTTATTATCGTCTCCTATAATTCGAGCCTACGTGATCCTGGCCTAAATCTGGGTCATGACTTGCTCCTATCTAGCTAATACTCTTGTGCAGTCATTGCTGCAAGTATGTTCAAAAATATACGTAGATTATCTTTATGTTGGCTAGTAGCAACATATTGTAGTCTTTATCACTTGTTGCATTCGCATGCAGCATCTTGTTTCCCATGCAGCCGTATTAAGCTGGAGCACTCGAGTAGTAGCAAGATATTCAGTACCACTTCATCGGTCTACACTGTTGTATGTACCACACTCTAACCGTATCACTGGAGCAGATACTTATACTCGATGCTTCAAACTTCATATTTGCTTATTTCTTGCATATATGTTACTACATATTGAGATAGATCCATTCCTCGTCGGGGTGATCATCCTGAAGTCGGCTGTGCAGGCTCAAGAGCCTTTATAACCGCGACGAAGTTGCCAGAGTGATAATCCTCGTCTAGACAAACCCAATCATCACCGTCAAAGCAGTGATAGTAGCAAGAAATGCTCTTCCCCTTGATACACTGCTTGCTGTGCTAGTGTATCCAACATTCAAAGAATTATTTTGGAATCCCACAGTGCGCAGCCAAGTCGGCGTAGCGGTATTATTGGCCAGGACATCTGAATGATAGGCATCCAGGACGCCCAAGAAGGATAGTTTCATCTTGCCTACTACGAGGACCCCAGTGCTAAGAGTTTCTGTACCTACCTTAACTGCCTGATAGCCGATGAAGTAGCCATTTAACGAGAGGTTAGCAGTCTTCTCGTCAAATTGAAGATCAAGCACCAGATCAGGCAGGTAAAATCCGTTCCCATTGATATTATAGGGATTCGGGTAAAAGGACCACTCGACGATGTCACTCCCGTTGCAACTGGCCAAGTTGGAGATCCAGCCCCCCTGCGGGTCATACTCGGTGAGGGTACTTGATAGACTGTACGGTGGCCCTTGGGTTGCATTGAGTGTCCAGTTGAAATTGTTAGTCACCTTGCCGTCCACCTGGTAGGTAGGACTAGGGAGTGTCAGTTGAGTTTCTTCTGATATTGGTGATATCACTCACTCAGAAGAAAATAAGCCGAACTTCAAGGATGTGTCAAGTTTTAATCCGTCCCAGCTTGGACCAGGTAATGTGGAGAAATTGAAGTTGTTGGGCCACATGGTGAAGAAAGCATTCACTGGGTCATAGCCAACATTATAGGAGCTGGGCTCTGTGAGGCCCAGCACAGAATTATTATACTGTTTGGTAACCGTTGTGTTGATGAGATTGGGGCACAGGTGGCTCCAATTGGCAGCCAGCCCGGTGTAAAACGATAATTCCACGTCTGTGGTACCGTTATAGTACCTGCGCAGTCAGCGTCAACGCAACAGCTCAGTGTCATCCAGAAACTCACGATCCAACCCAGTAATCGAGGATGCTGAGGGTCACATTCTTGGGTCGAAAATTGAGGGATGGGTCATAGTCCGGATCATCCTTGGCCGCAACTCCGACCACGAAGGCCAGGCTGCACAGGACAGCTTTCATAGCCCCAGGCCCGCGCATTTGGCTAATATACTATCGGTTGGTGCGAAATCAAACCTTCGTGGCCGGGTTACCATGTAGCCATTATATCGTCACTGGAGATGGTGGAGCGGTCCCTGCGGCGTCATATTCTCCGACAACAGCCGCCGGACCACCGAAGGGCAGTCACGAACGAACTAGTGTGCCAATAATGGCTTCTCAGAAGGTATGATCCGGGTAATTTCAAAGCCCAGAGGCGATTCCTCTTTGCATTTAGTGCCAGGGGCGAACTGTTGAACAAGCTTTTCCTTTCAAAGCTTGGCCCCTATGAGGCCCGCCTTTCCTCGGCGATCTGTAAATGCAGGCACATGCAATGCAAGCCACGTAACAAGCATAAACCTGCCTATTGTATAAAAAATTTCTGACACCTGCCATAATTTCCTGTAAATGAACATATTCTATTTGTTTGGCGTTGAAGCAAATGTACTCAAGGCGCCCAGGAAGGTCCATACTGTTAGCGGGCTATGGCGCGGAGCTCCGCAATCTAGCAGTGGGACCTAAGAGGCCGGGCTATACCCTAGTAGTATCACCGAGCCATTTTGAGATTAGGGTCGTCTCTTCCCATCATATTACTTATCTCTGGTATTGCCAGTTTGACCTCGGACTTGATGCATAGGACACTGCTGGTGTCACTCGGCATTGATTACTGCGACCGCTAGCAGAATCATTCAAATTACTAGTACGGAAGGAGACATTATCTCGCCAAATCTATGTTCTAGATTAAGAACTATAAAAGTATATTCAGTATGAACGGTAGAAATAGCTTGGGTACGCCATCGAATAGCAACGTACAATAGGAAAGGCGCATCGAGCTCATCTCTGAGGTGAGAGGAAATTGCCACGAGATGGGATTCTACTCGCTGTAGTACAATCTCCTGGATATTTGTGGTAGCTGGGAGGGGGTTGAGGGCTAGGGGCTGAGTTAGGCGCGTAGGATCACAGCCGCGTCATATTCAAAACCCCGAGCCCACCGCCGACTTTTGCGAAACAGACGCAGTGCACTAAACCTCTTTACCATGCAAGTGATCCAATCAAGGTTTCATGGTTTAGAAACATAGATCTTAGAATATAAAACCTCTGCAATAGAAGCTCACCCATTTCAAGCGAAAGCGCATAATTGGGCTCAACGGTGGCCTTCCTGTTCTCTCATCGCAATTGTCTCTTCTTTCTGGGCCCGCAGCTTCCTCTCCAACGGATGTTGCGTCACACTGATCTGTTTCAAGCCCTCAATAGCCTCGTCGCAGTATCTAATGCTCTCATCAAACCTTCCCTGAAGCTTATAGCTTCTCGCAAGCTCAATCATCGCGCCGAGTCGGTCCGGATGAAAGTCTCCTGTATAAGAAGCCAGATGCCGTAGCCGTTCCATCGCGTCAAGAAGTGTAGAATCAGCCTCGGCAAACTTAGATTGGTTGATAAGGATTGTTCCTAGTATGACTTTTCCCATGAGGGTTCCTATATGGCTGTCGCCGAGATTGCGTTCTGCAATAGAAAGTCCGCTGCGTAGGATGGTTTCCGCCTTGGTGTGTTGGCCAAGCGCATTTGTGATTCTTGCTAAGCTCGCTAGGGCTAAAAGCGTGTATGGGTGCTCTTTACCTAGTCTTTCCCTTCGGACGTCGAGCACCTGTTGCACCATGGCCAAAGGCTCCGATAGGTCTTCTTCTCCCATCTGCACCGCAAGAAGAGCAAGTTCTTCTTGCACGAGTAAAGTCTTCGTATGTGTTGGCCCGAGTACCTTGCTCATCCCATCTAAAGCTCGTTTTAGTAGTGACTTCGCTTCATCCAGGTTCTCATAGAATTTAGCCATCGTACGACCAAGACTGCCCATGGCCGTCAGGGTATCTTCGTTGTCTATCCCCTTGAGCTTTATTAGCCCGTCAACGGCCTCTAGTTGTAGCGTTCTGGCATGGGTGTATCGCCCTTCCTGCCATCTCGTCTGGCCCAGAAGATCCTTCGCCATAAGAGTCTCATGGGCATTGGGACCTAGGGAAGTGATACAAGCCTGCAAGACAGTTTGCTGCAATTGCGCAGCCTCGTCCCCACGCCCTTGATTCCAGTAGGTCTGTGCTAATGCCAGTGTTATCCGCCGCGTTGAAGGATGGTCCAGTCCAAAGATGCGGTGTGTATATTCCTTCACGGCCAACTGTAGCATTTCTGCGTCCTTCCAGCGTCCGGACTGAGCAAGCACAGTGCTGAACTTCGCATAGCGTAGGGCTTGCTCGCGACCAAACCTCGATCCCAGTCCAGGCCATTGAACAAGCCCATACCAGCGACGTGTTCGGTTCGCCCTGATTGTCTGGTCGTTAACTTCCTGACATGCCTGGATGTGGTCTACGTGAGCAAGTACGTCCCTCCGAAAGAGTTCTTCGTCTTCACTTTCACCAAGCGGTGGGAGGAGAATGGACCGACCGAGCACCACCGCCGCGATATGAGCCCAGACAGCCTGCTCTGCAGTGCTCATGCCCGGCCTCTCCCGAGCCCATCTGTGTACGAACGGATGTATTGAGTAGCTGTCATTTGCCTCGTTGTGAGTGATTAGAGACATTCGTGTAAGTTCTCTAAGCGCGTACCGTACTCTCGACTCGTCAAAGTCAGCCACTGACGTTTCGCGTAAACACAGCGGCAAGGCAGGCGGGCCCTGGACTTCCATAACGAACGTCAGGATGGAGACACGCAGGTCTCTATACCTCTGGTACCAGGTCAATGGTCGCTGACGGTTGTCCTGGCCTTTGGCTTCCCGTGCATCCTTCTCGATTGCAGGATTGAGTACGGCTCTTCTAAGAATGTCGAAGCGAATGTTCTTGAAATGGAAGAAAGAGAACATCTTGAGCAGTTGAATGGCGTCTTCGGATGCTCGTGTCGCTCTTTCCTCGATCCCCCGATAGCAGATTTCATATGAGGCAGCGGCACTCAGAATCTCATCTTTCTCTCCTGACGCTCGTCGGATTTTTCGCCAACTACCGTCATAAACTTTCAGGTAGTTTTTCAAAGAGCAAATGTTTTCTCTGATGGCATACCCCGCATGTATCAGAGCAAGTGCGAGGAATCCCAATTGTCTGGCTATTTTGGAAGCGCATGACGAAGAATCAGCATCCCAAGGCTGTGCCAACTGAGCGGAACGCAAAAGTAAGACACTTGAATCATCTTCTCCCATTCCTTCAAATTCAAAGAAACGTGGCCCAACATTGCCGTGAATCTTGTGCGCGGGGTTGCGAGACGTGATGATGATAGTCCCTCGGTCGCCTTGTGGAAAATAATCATCAAGTTCAACGCGAGCATCATCGGCATTGTCAATCAGCAGGAGCCACCTTTCTTCTTGGCTCGAAAGCCAGTGCATGGCTGCCTTGGGGCTGAGTTCGACGTCGCCCAACTTGGCTATGTCCGCGTATGTTTGCTTCGCCCGCTCGTGGGTGCTGGCATCGATCCGGAAGACTCCCCAGAAACTGATAAGATAAACAGGTGTTAGAGATCTGTCAGTCGCCACCGTGAGTAGAGTCTTGCCCACCTGCTTCTATTTTGCTCTGCAAATTTGGAGCAGAATTGTGTCTTCCCCGACCCGGGGAGGCCCCAAATAACAAACCGCCGCTGTTCCTGCACCGACTCGTCGGCCCTTTGATCTAGGAGGATTTGCCGCAGACTCTCCAAGTAATTCACTCGTCCTGTGTAGAAGCTTCTCACTCGCTGAGGAGTATCAAAAAACTTGTTCCGTGGTATGACAGACACGGCGGTAGTAACGGAGGTCAAAGATCTCTTCAGACTGAATAGCGTTGCGTCGGCTTCTTCACTCTCTTCCTGGCTGCCCACATTGGCAAACCGCCCGAGCTCCTCTTGTTTCTTACGCAGTTGTTGCTGTAATTGTTCTTCGAGAAATTCCAGCTTTGTCATCATTTGATCCAGTTTCCCCTGCGATTCTTGTCCGTTGTGGCTAGAAGATCCGATCACCGTTAGCCCTAGAAGTGGACAGTATATGACCGATACTCACACAAGTAAGATGGTAAGCAAAAGCTCCATAGACTGTTTTTGGGCAGATAACTCGCCACGCAGCCGCTGAAGACTCTGGGACTTGTCGCGCCTGCGAAACTCTTTGCCCAAAGCATCGAGCTTCCCCCCAACTGCAGACCCTGCTTTTCCATATATATCAGCGACCAACGTCTCGAGCCGCGTCATAAGAATGTGACAATGGCGGACGCTCTGTTTGCATCTGTCCACTATGCTATGGAGGTTATGGCTCTTTTGATTAGGCGAATACGGGCTCGATTCTGTCACGGCAGGCTTTACATCAAGGCGTCGGATAACCTCTCCGATGGATTCGACGGCGCTTCGCAACGACTCCACTTCGGCAATTAGAATCTCGATCTCGGTATGTATCGAAGCAAGGCCCGCCGGAATATCCCTTAAGAAGCTAATCAGGTGCTGGCACACCTCTAAAAGCGCTAATGTCCCCACGGTAATAGAGAAAGGATCCATGGTCTCGAGCAAGCTGGCGCTATTGCTGTCGTTTATCGGGCTCAAGTGATGAAACGAATATTGAAGAGAGATAGCTTGGGTGCGGCTGCTTCAAGCTCGTCTATTGATCAGGGTCGCCTTCATGTGTGACGGGAACGGGTCTATCCGCCAGGAATAATGTGGATGGATTTCGTCACCAGCAAATGAAAAGCCTGGGGCGCAGTTGGACTACCCATCGCAGTCTCTGGTCAGTTGCCAGGCCTGGCTACCTAGCTAGGCCGCGGATATTAATAGGGGTTATGCTGATTTGTGAAACTGTGTCTGGACTTTTGAGTATCAACCTTGGACCATTTTGACAGATGATTGGCCTGTCCTGCGCCAAAAAGCAAGCATAATGTTGCAATGAAGTGTCTGGACAACTATCTACCCCACTTCTCTCCCCTCTGGTGGCGCTGCCAGGAGCCATTAACTCATACTAATACGGATTTGTGCAACCTTAAATGCCTAGGCGTACGCGCTCTGCCCCTGACTTATCTTACAGATGCAACCACGGAGTAAGTGGAGAGGGACATATATGAGTACTCTAGAGCTTGAATACCCGGTACTTGATTTTGGAATACTTCAATTTCACTTATATTCAATTAGCAAGCGGTATGGAACTTCTCGGCTCAACGGCTCTCAACCTCATTGTAGGGGCGTTGACATGCGCACTTACCTACAAAGTTATTGCTCTTCAACGAGAACTGCGAGTATGAGTCGCTTTTCACCAACCCTGTCAGCATTGGATTCCCTGCCCTCTAACCTGTATTCCAGGCTAACAACCAGATCGCGGCCGCAAATGGATGTCTGCCGCTCAGGAAATGGAACTCGACTTGGCCACTGGGCCTGGATCTACTTATTCAAGCATTTCGCTATGACCGTAGGCAGCAGATTCTCAAATTCTTCCTCGATGTCGTTGCTAAATCTGGCACGACGTTCGAGCAAAATCTCCTTTTCTCTCGAGGAGTCGACACTATCGATCCTCAGAACATACAGGCGCTTCTGTCGACCCAATTCGCTGGTCAGTGCTTTACCTCGGACGCTCTTGCTACTACTACTGACGAACGACACTTCTGACTTTGGACTCGGACTGAGACCTCCAACTTTCTACCCCTTGATGGGAAGTGGGATCTTCACTCAGGATGGCAGACACTGGCGGCACTCACGCGAGCTGCTACGTCCACAGTTCATGACGAACCGGTTCACCAATTTTGAGCATATACGCTGCGCCGTAGACAACCTCATTTTCACCATTCCTGATGACAAAGACGTGGATCTACAGCCGCTGTTCTTTCGTCTCACTTTCGAGACTACCCTCTTCGTACTGTTTGGGCAACACTTGCCATCTCTCCAATCGGAGGGCATCACAGGCCAGGAATCGGACTTTGCGAACGCTTTCAATCTTGGACAGGAGTATTTGGCCAAACGCGGACGATTGGGTGACTTCTACTGGCTTCTAGACGGGAGGAAATTTCGAAAGGCATGTAAAATTTGCCATGAATTTGTGGACTGTGCTGTACAGAAGGCCTTGGGCTCGGCTACAAACAAGACCCCGGGCACCAAGACAGAGACTTACGTCTTTATTGAGGCCTTGATCGAGGAAACCCGGAACCCGGAAGTACTTCGGGATCAGTGCCTTAATATCCTGCTAGCTGGGAGGGACACTACGGCTTGCTGCCTCACTTGGACTTTGTAAGGCCACTGTACCCATTTTGTTTTCCGGGAAATCTGACTGACAAAATCAAGACGTCTACTTGTCCAGCATCCTCACGTCCTTTCCAAGTTGCGGGCCGAAATCAGTGATAGAGTCGGAATTGGACTTGGGTCGCCGACGCCTACTATAACCCAAGTCAGGTCACTTCCGTATCTCTCCCTCGTCATCAAAGAAGGTAGTTCAACCTCGAATTACCCAAACCAATCGCACTACCCTGATGCTCACTAAGTTCCCAGTCCTCCGCCTCTACCCCTCCGTCCCTGTAAACTCGCGCGCCGCCACCAAAACCACAACCCTCCCCACAGGCGGCGGACCAACAGGCACCGCGCCAATCCTCGTCCGAAAAGGCGAGGCCGTAGGATACTGTGTCTACGCGATGCACCGGCGTAGGGATATCTATGGCGCCGACGCAGACAAATTTCGACCCGAGCGCTGGGATAACGATGCGCTGAAGGATGTAGGCTGGGGGTATTTGCCATTTAACGGGGGACCAAGGGTTTGCCTGGGACAGGAATTTGCGTTGCTGGAGGTTGGATACACCATTGTGCGGTTGCTGCAGACATTCGAGGTTATTGAGCAGGCGGAAGGATGTAGGATGGAGAAAGGAGTCGGCGACGAGAGGCAGGTTCTTACGTTGGTCGTTTCTTGTGGGGAAGGTTGTGTGGTTCAAATGAGAAGATATGGAGAGGTGTAGACAGTGGTCTGTTTGCTTGGTATAGTGGACACTTTGTTATCATGGCGATCCGCTACATACCCTCCTAGAGCCCTGAGCTCTTGCAGTTGGTAGATGAACGACTAGTTTCATAATAAAGCGGGCTGCAGGGCTGGGATCCCTGCCTACGCATATAGCATACTCGAGAGCCTTGCGGACGAGAGTTATTCGGACTCCTTCTACACAGAGATAGTCCTGTAGCCCTAGCTCCGGATGATGAATCTTGTATGGGCGCCTGTAAGATTCAGCCTGCCAGCTGGGCCCCTAATCTTTCTACCTCTTACTCAAAGACCAATAAGTCTCTGGTCTTTTAGTGACTATCATAATACGTCTTTCTTCCCGTCGAGCCGGCTATATAAATTGTTGAAACATTTTACCGAGTAGACCAAAAGAGAAATCTCTCACTTGGTTACTGGTTTGCTCAGGTTTCATTGTTCTGACATAAATTGCTCGCCATCCAGGTGCTCCGTTGTCTGCAGCAAGAGCATAGTCCTGACTATTAGTTGTCAAATGCCTAGAAACCAATAGAACTTAGTTTATGAGTAACTGAGAACGTTAAAACCTTAATAGAATAGTCAGTAATACAGTCAATCACGCAACTCAGCAAGAAATACATATGTACGAGGGTTTATGCAGTAGGCGGTGACGAAGCAACGGCGTGATGTGCTGGATGTTTGTCCCGCTCGGGCTGAAGTCACGTGAAATTATGCGTCGGTACCTCATCAGCCATTGCCGGCAGCTCTGACTGGAAGGTACCCCTTCCCCAGAGACCATTTGTCTCGTGTGCTGTTGCTCCCAGAAACGAGAGCCTGGGTCTGTTCTTGTGGGTGCCAGCTTGTGAATCTTGCTCCCTGTGCTTGGTGTTCCGGAGTTCGACGACCACGCCTTTTCCAGCCAGACCTTCTCCCCGCACTCGCGCTTTCGCCGAACGATGCCCGCTTTCGCCCTGACCCCCAATGGACTGACCTTACGCCTTGCCTGAAACATCTTGACTTCGCGATAATCGGAATATCATCCCTATCTAGAGCTCGTCACCCTTGCCGGGTGCGATGTCAAGGCCATGGAGGCCGATTGGGATGAACTGTCGCGCATTCCGGTGCCTGCACCGAGCGTGCATGCCCTGCCGACAATCGCAACCGCAATAGCCTTTGATGATGTGATGGAGTTGTTGTGGGTGGGAAATGAATTTGTCGGTTTTCCATTATTTGCAGCTACCACCGAAGGCTGTGCTGACCAGCGTTTGTGTACTCCATTAGGGACGAATCACCTCTTTCTTCGGCCCTGAACTTCAGCGATATACCTCCGTCCGGGCACATCCTGCGACGGAGCCGGTACGGCAGATTATTTTCCATGACAGAGGCGTTATCTCGCTCTCCCCGAAAAGTGTGCACATGATAACACGGCGCGGCTTGACACAATGGCATATCGCTCATGAGGAAATGACCGATCTCCGCTGCATGAGCTTCACAGCCCAAACCAACCGGATTATAGTGGCAGGATGTCAGAAATCGATGTTTACAATTGATATTGATAAGGGAATTATAATAGACAAGCTGCATACCGAGTATAACTACACAATCATGAAGAAGAGCCGATACCTTTGCGCAGCGACAGATACGGGCTCAGTCAACGCGCTGAGCCTGAACGACTTCAGTGTGGTGAAGTCGTGGAAAGCACACGGGACTGCAGTTAATGATATGGATGCTCGGAATGATCTTTTGGTTACCTGCGGCTTCTCTGTCAGGCATCTGGGTTCCCCGATTGTCGATCCGTTGGCCAACGTGTACGACCTGAAGACCCTTTCGCCGTTACCCCCGATACCCTTTCACGCCGGAGCTGCCTATGTACGGATGCACCCGAAGTTGCATACAACGAGTTTTGTTGCATCTCAGACAGGCCAGCTTCAGGTTGTGGACCTGATGAATCCGAATGCCATCAACCTTCGCCAGGCGAACGTTTCCTTCATGCTCGGTATCGACCTGTCACCATCCGGAGAAGCATTAGCTATTAATGATGCCGAATGTGCAATTCATCTATGGGGATCGCCAGCAAAGGTTCATTTCAATGAGATGAGCAAAGAAGCAGAATTCGGCGATGTAGCTCCTCGTCCCCCTACCCTGGATTGGTCTCCAGAAACGCCTCTGAGTATGATTGGCATGCCATATTATCACGAGCGTCTTTTCTCTGCGTGGCCGAGTCATCTAGTTTTCGAAGTCGGCAGTCCCCCTCCTCAAGTAGATCAGGCTCTGATCCCTTATCTCCGTCCGGCAGAGCTCGGTCACCATGCGCCGAATCCGAAGAAGACACGGCGTTATCAGGTCGAGAACACTCGCGCTCTGGCTTCTGCTGAGCCTGCTCTTATTGCTCCCAAGTTTTTGAGTGAAAAGGCACGAGAGCAGAATAAGGCAAAATCAGAGGGGGCTATAAGTGACGCTGCCGAGGCTCTGGCGGGTGCCAAAATCAATGGAGAAACGGACGATGATCCTCTCCTCAAATACAGCAATGTTGAGATCAAGTACAGTAGGTTTGGTGTCGATGACTTCGACTTTAGGTGAGTTTTCTCGTATTCCGTGGAATGATGTACAGCAACTTATGCTTTGAATAGGTTCTACAATCAGACGACGTTCTCTGGTTTGGAAACACATATTGCAAATTCCTTCACGAACGCTCTTCTTCAACTTTTTAAATTCATCCCTTATATACGCAACGTAGCTCTCCACCATGCCGCAAGTTCTTGTATTTTCGAGACATGTCTGCTCTGCGAGATGGGCTACCTGTTCGATATGCTCGAAAAAGCGAGCGGCCAAAACTGCCAAGCAACGAACCTTCTGAAGACCTTCAGCAGTTATCGCGAAGCATCCAACCTAGGTCTTTTTGAAGAAAACTTGACGAATAAGTCACTTTCGGCTGCGATTCAAGCTGTCAACAGATTTTTCCTGGGTCAGATTTCGCACGACTTCCGTATGATTTCGCCGAGCTCGGACGACCTGGACCACAGACTAGCAACGGTCGCGTCCGAGTCCATTCGCTGCATGTTCTGCCAGAACGAAATTGTGAGACCGGGAAACTCTCTTGTCAACGAGCTGAACTATCCTGCGATCGATATCAAGCAAGCTCGCAGGAATCCTGCCTTCCGGTTCTCAAATATCTTACGGGCCAGCATTGAGCGAGAAGCGCAAAACAGAGGATGGTGCAACTACTGTCGTCGATATCAGCAAGTTGCTATTCGGAAATCAGTTCACCGCATGCCTCAGGTCCTGATGCTTAATGCGGCTCTCACCAACCCCATCTGCCGGCGGCTTTGGGCAATTCCTGGGTGGTTGCCGGAAGAAGTTGGAATCGTCATCGAAGGTGGTCAGATCCTATGCTTCGAAGGTGAAGACTTGAAACTTCGAGTCCAAGCTAAGATGCCCGGTCTGGTGGTATATGACCTGGTAGGTTTGGTTTGTGAGATCGATATTCCAGAGCACCAAAAGGCACATCTAGTCTCTTTCATCAACGTATCCATCTCATCTCGTGAACCGGAAACCAAGAACAAGTGGCATCTTTTCAACGACTTCCTCGTTACGGAAGTCGACAAAGAAGAAGCCCTCCGCTTCAATCAACCATGGAAGATACCGTGCGTGCTAGCCTACCAGGTGCAAGACGGTCGACATGCTATGGATGATACTTGGAAAGACGCGCTCGACACCACTCTTCTCTTCCGTGACTGGTCGCTAAAGTAAGTTGAGCTCCTTCTAGTAGCAAGTGCTTCGCGCTAACCTTCCCTTTCTCAGTGGTGGCCGTCCGGTAGAGTCTCGCGTCACGCTCTCCGAAGAGGAGAAGCCCACCCCCGGTACGCCTGTTGCTCTCGATACCGAGTTTGTAGATCTTGAGAAAGCAGAGATCGATGTGAAAGCGGATGGCTCTCAGGAAATTGTACGCCCCAGTAAGAGCGGTCTTGCTAGGGTGTCTGTTCTCAGAGGCTCAGGGATCCGAGAAGGTGTTCCCTTCATAGACGACTATATCACCATAAAAGAGAATATCGTCGATTACGTCACTCAGTACTCAGGGATTAAGCCCGGGGACCTGGACCCTAGGGTTAGCCAGCATAACCTTGTCCCGCTGAAGGTGGCATACAAGAAGCTCTGGCTGCTCCTCAACTTAGGCTGCGTGTTTGTCGGACACGGCTTAGCCTCTGATTTCCGCAAAGTTAACATTCAAGTCCCCAAAAGCCAGACCGTGGACACCCAATACTTATTCTTCCACCCGGGAAAGAATCGTCGTCTGAGCCTTCGTTATCTGGCCTGGGCGGTGTTCAAGGAATACATCCAAGAGGAACCGGCCGATGACAGCCAAGGACACGACTCCATTGAAGACGCACGCATGGCACTGCGTCTATGGAAGAAATTTAAAGAATACGAAGATGCAGGCATTGTGTCTCAAATATTGGAAGAGATCTTCCGCGAAGGTTCTAAGCTTGGATTCCGACCCCCTCCCAGGAACGGTGTCCCAACCGTGCTCTCCCGCCCCGGAACGGCGGTTACGATGCAGAACAACAGCGGTCGCAATACTCCCAGCACTTCTGATGTTGCTGGCGCCGCTGCTAGTGCCCCAGCCACTCCCAGACAGGCGTTCCGACGCTCCATCGCTCTGACGCCCAGCAACGGCAGCTTTGCTGGCCCTGGAACGGGTGACTTCTTCAGTGGAAGTCCCCTGAAGTGAACATCTCCGTCTGAATCGGAGTATAGATCTTTAACGACGTTTGCATATGATGTTATCGACTTGCTATATCGACAAGTTCTCAAGATAGAGGCGACATTTGGATGTCCTGTCATAGTTGGCTTTACATGAAGTGAATTTGGAAGTGACATCACATGTCACTCGATAGATAGAAAATAACCCAATTTATCTATTCAACAGACGATCCGAAAAACAAGCAGCACATAGAATGTAGCTTGGAAATAAGGCGCCGTAGATCGCTTCTGGAAGATATTCGTATTGGAAGAGCCATTCGCAGTAGTTTACCGGCCTGAGGCCACCGAGCGGGGAATGACGTGGTGGGATTCGATCAGCTCCTCCACAACGACAACCTCCGACTCGGCTCTCTGTTTTGCCAACTTCACCCCTCTACACTTTTGGCCCTTTCACACGCGGGCATTCACCCAAGCACATAACGTGCTTTTCATTTAAATCTTTGCTTTTCTCATTTGTCACTCTGAATAATACTCCAATCCCTTGTTCAACCTACCGTCTCCCGGAAAACCCCTCCCTAGCAACCTGCCCCGCTCCCGTCAACAACACACACCAGCATGTCGCGCCATCGCATTAAAGCTGTCAGCTACGACGAAGATGACTTTGACGATGACTATGACTCCCCGGATCCCGAGGAGGAAGAGTTCCTTGAGCAGTGCACTACGGAAGTGTTGAACCAGCTCCGTGCGGGGGACCCTCCTGTCACCGCGACTCGCGATGAGGTGCAAGAGGCGCTATGGCACTACTACAATGATGTTGAGAAGTCTGTGAACTACTTGAGAGGTGCGTTATCACTCCTTTTCCGGAAGAGAAATATTGGTTGCATTCCAGCAGGAATGGCATGCTGCTTCTCTGGATGCTAATCAGAACCATTGGGTGCAGGTAAAAAGACGAAAGAAGTCAAGAAGAAACAGGTTCCGGCTCCGGCTCCGGCTGCCAAGGCAAAAGCAAACACAGGTAAGCGCATCTGCTCGTGTTCACTATGGTGGTTGGGCTTGGGTCACCCGCAATTTGCCTTACACCTAAACGTATTTTCGGTCTGAGTTTCGTAAACTGTGAGTATTACTCTTACCCCTTGTGATTGATTGCTTTGAACTAACGCCGTTACGGAAGTTGAAGTATGTTCTAACAGACTTCCTAGTGCCTGTATATCCTGTTCCGTTATCTCCTCCGGCCTCTTCAACTGCACATTTCTCAGCAGCCGACTTCTTCCGCGATGCACCGTGGCTTAACATACCTGCACACCGTAAGGCGGACATACTCGTTGAGCCTCTATATCCTCGATTGGGTCTGCTTGGTGGAGCTCCTGAGCATTCGGGGAAGGTGTCCAAGTTGGCTGCTTTGGCTGCTGCGCGCAAGAAGAAAGAGGGGGAGAAGTCTGCTGCTCCAACTCCTACACCTCCGTCGGAAGTTGAAAGTTCCCGGCCATCTTCCACTGAGCGAAAGAGCCCTGCCCTTTCTCTCCGTGAGAGACTCGCTAGCAATGGCAAGCCGCAGAAATCGTCAGAGGGTCTGCAATCGCTTCGGTCACTCAATAAGGGATCGCGGCTGGGAAGCCCTTCGCCCCAGAAAATGCCGTCCCCAGAGCCAAGAAAACAAAGCAGTCCGGAGGTCACTGGGCAGGCAGATTTGGAACCACCCGTGTCAGTCGACAAGAAGCAGGAAGAAGAACCCGGTCTCAACATCCGTGCACCACCATCCACATTTGCCAGCACGATTGTTGGAGAAGCGACACGCCCAAAGATGGCCGAGCCCAGCCACCTATCTGCCAGCACATTAGATCTCATCAAGATATACGGTCAAGAATTTGCTGAACCCTTTGATTTTGCAGGCCCAAGCCCCGACGATGTTGTCTTGAATGCTCAGAGCTCTGCAAAAGGTTTGGCTATTCGGCGCAAGATATAGATCCTCCCTAATGGACATGCAGGCTTCAAATCGAAACAACCTGCTTCTAAGTCAGCAGGTGACAAGAAATCCCAGGCTGGTTTGGCTGAAGGCATGAACAGCCTGAGTGTAGAGGAGAAGGTGAATGTGAAGAGCAAGAACCTAGATGTGCTGTCTGAGTATCAGAAAACGCAACGGAAGAAAGCTATGAACTTCGCCGTTATCGGTTCGTTACTATCCGTCTCTCTGTAGTGGACGCCACTGACAGGCGATTAGGTCATGTCGACGCAGGAAAGAGTACGTTGATGGGACGCCTGCTGGCCGACCTCAAAGCCGTCGATCAGCGCACGCTGGAGAAATATCGCAAAGAAGCTGAAAAGATCGGGAAAGGATCATTTGCCCTTGCCTGGGTGTTGGATCAAGGCTCCGAGGAGAGGGCTCGTGGTGTTACTATTGATATTGCAACAAACAAGTTTGAGACGGAGAGTACGGTGTTTACGATCGTGGATGCTCCGGGTCATCGGGACTTTGTACCCAATATGATTGCGGGCGCCAGTCAGGCCGATTTTGCTGTCCTTGTCATCGATTCTAGCATAGGCAATTTCGAGTCTGGTCTGAAAGGTCAAACAAAGGAGCATGCTCTCCTCGTGCGGAGTATGGGTGTGCAGAGGATCATCATTGCTGTGAACAAGATGGACTCTGTCCAATGGGACCAAGGTCGCTTTGAGGAGATTGAACAGCAGGTTTCCTCATTCCTAACCACTGCTGGATTCCAAGCCAAGAATATCGCATTCGTGCCTTGCTCGGGTATCAGCGGCGATAACGTTACCAGGCGCAGTGAGGACCCGAATGTCTCATGGTACAAGGGTCGTACTTTGATCGAGGAGCTTGAGGCCACGGAACCTTACGTCCATGCCATTGAGAAGCCGTTGAGAATGACCATTGGCGATGTCTTCCGGGGCAGCGTTCAGAATCCTCTTTCCATATCCGGTCGCATCGACGCTGGTAGTCTCCAGGTTGGCGACCAGATACTCACGATGCCTAGTGGCGAAAAGGCCACGATACGCAGCTTGGAAGTGGATGGGGAGCCCAGCGACTGGGCGGTGGCGGGTCAGAACGTCACGCTCAACCTGGTCAACATTGATCCCATCCATCTCCGATCTGGCGATGTCATTTGCCGTGCCTCGGCACCCATTGCCAATGTTACGTCCTTTACATGCAAGGTGCTGGCCTTTGACCATCTGTTGCCCAGCATGGTGGACATCCACCGGGGTCGGCTGCACGTACCCGGCCGGATCAGCCAGCTGGTCGCAGCGTTGGACAAGGTGACAGGCGCAAGCATCAAGAAAAGGCCCAAGATTGTCGCTCCCGGTACTGTGGCACGGATAGTGGTAGAGATGGACCAGGCGGTACCTCTGGAGGCGCCCACACGCATTGTACTACGAGCTGGAGGTGAAACAGTGGCCGCCGGATTGCTAGAGTAGATGGTGGCCTGAGTGCATTGTGAGGACCATATATATATATATTGGATCTAACGAGGATGTTCCTCTAGTTACATAGGCACATTTACACATTATATATATAATTTACTCTCCGCGCCCACTTCGGTGTCCTAGATTCAATAGTAGTAGTACTAGCTACTACCGATAATAATATATCGTGATCGGCAAATTGATAATGACCTATCACTACTACTGTGATACTCCTACTACTTACTAGTACTGATCATCATATTATGGAGTGAAAATGATGCTTTGACTGTGACTACTACTAATCTTATACAAGAGTATCATGTTTGGCTACTAGTGTGCTAGTAGTTCTTACTGCTCGAATGGTACCCTTGGTGGCTGAGAGAGAGAAAGGGCCCCATTCAGCCGTATCAACTGAAACAAAGATCAAACGATCTGGCCAGGCTGGCAGAAACATGAGGTCTTGGCTGGCTCAATAATTCAGGAATTCAGGCCAAGCTAGGATGCGCCTCCTGAGTGGGGAGAGGATGTATCCACTTCTTCCACCGGAAGACCCTGGGGTGATCTCTGTGACTCAAAAAGGAGTAATGATTTGACTCAATGATGGTCAACAGTGGAATCTGACCATGTGGTGATTGACGAGTTCTTGACAGGCTGGCCCCTTTTTTTCTGCCCTCTCATCATCCTTCAGCGTAAACCCCCGGACTCAGCAGGGTCAATCTCCCGGCAAAGGGCGCCGAAGGAACGGAACGGCCAGTTGTCCAAGTGCCGAAAGAGGCAAAGTTCCCCTGGAGGAGTGAAGAACGCCTAACCGAAGCGAGCGAATCACGCGACGATTCTAGCAAGTTCGGTGGACCGCCTTCCCCCAAATGGACGAACACCTTCCATTTTTCCGCCGGCAGAACCACCGGGCGGTGGCCGTGCACGCTGACTCAGCCCTGCCCTGGACGCGTCGCGGGCCAATCACAGGCTGAGGAGTAACCTTAAAGTCAGATACCCGCGAAAAGGCCAGCATGGCCGCTGCGCTTTCTTTGCCGCTGGCAAGCCATACAAAAAGCTGGCCGGAGCTTCTCTGGACACTCTTTCTTCTCTCCGTCGTCGCCTTCTTTCACCCAACTATCTTCCCTCCCCCTTCCCTCCTCCCCCCCTTCGCTCTTTCTTCCCTTTCCTTCCCATTCTCATCTGGGTTGGATTGTATTTAGTTTTTTCTTCTTTCTTCGTGCCGGGGAAAAAAACTGTGTACGAGGAATAGGAGGATTTCTTTACCGCATATCCACTTTCATTCGCTGCTGTCTCCAATTGAGCAGCTCGTCGATTAAAAGTCTACGACGTGTCCTCCGGTGAAAGGACATTACACACATCATGGCGCGCATCTCGCATCAGGGTGCGGCCAAGCCCTTCACGGCTTGGACCACCATCTTCTACTTGTTGCTTGTTTTCATTGCCCCCCTCGCCTTCTTCGGCACCGCACACGCTCAGGATGAGACGTCGCCTCAAGAGAGCTACGGAACTGGTAAGCAGAGAGTTTCCCAGGCATAGTGAAAGAAGCACACTAACATTATCTGTTCTGAACAGTCATTGGTATTGATCTGGGAACCACCTACTCCTGTGTCGGTGTTATGCAGAATGGAAAGGTCGAAATTCTCGTGAACGACCAAGGAAACCGTATCACCCCTTCATACGTCGCTTTCACCGATGAGGAACGCCTGGTCGGTGACGCCGCTAAGAACCAATACGCCGCCAACCCCAGACGGACCATCTTTGACATCAAGTAAGTTTTCTGCTTCTCGCGAGTTTCGGGGAAATCTGTTACTGACGTTCCCTAGGCGCCTGATCGGTCGCAAGTTCGATGACAAGGATGTCCAGAAGGACGCCAAGCACTTCCCCTACAAGGTCGTCAACAAGGACGGCAAGCCCCACGTCAAGGTCGATGTCAACCAGACCCCCAAGACCCTGACCCCCGAGGAGGTTTCCGCCATGGTTCTTGGTAAGATGAAGGAGATCGCCGAGGGCTACCTTGGAAAGAAGGTTACCCACGCCGTTGTCACCGTCCCCGCCTACTTCAACGACGCCCAGAGACAGGCCACCAAGGACGCTGGTACCATTGCCGGCCTGAACGTTCTCCGTGTCGTCAACGAGCCCACCGCCGCCGCTATCGCCTACGGATTGGACAAGACTGGTGATGAGCGCCAGGTTATCGTCTACGATCTTGGTGGTGGTACTTTCGATGTCTCCCTCCTGTCCATCGACAACGGTGTCTTCGAGGTCTTGGCTACCGCTGGTGACACCCACTTGGGTGGTGAGGACTTTGACCAGCGTGTCATGGACCACTTCGTCAAGCTCTACAACAAGAAGAACAACGTCGATGTCACCAAGGATCTCAAGGCCATGGGTAAGCTGAAGCGCGAGGTTGAGAAGGCCAAGCGTACTCTGTCTTCCCAGATGTCCACCCGTATTGAGATCGAGGCCTTCCACAACGGCGAGGACTTCTCCGAGACCCTCACCCGCGCCAAGTTCGAGGAACTGAACATGGACCTCTTCAAGAAGACCCTGAAGCCTGTTGAGCAGGTGCTCAAGGATGCCAAGGTCAAGAAGTCCGAGGTTGACGACATCGTCCTCGTCGGTGGTTCTACCCGTATCCCCAAGGTCCAGGCTCTCCTCGAGGAGTTCTTCGGTGGCAAGAAGGCCAGCAAGGGTATCAACCCCGATGAGGCTGTTGCTTTCGGTGCTGCCGTCCAGGGTGGTGTCCTTTCCGGTGAGGAAGGTACCGGCGACGTTGTTCTGATGGATGTCAACCCCCTGACCCTGGGTATTGAGACCACTGGTGGTGTCATGACCAAGCTCATCCCCCGCAACACGGTCATCCCCACCCGCAAGTCCCAGATCTTCTCCACCGCCGCTGATAACCAGCCCACCGTCCTCATCCAAGTTTGTAAGTGTCTTCTGCCTTGATCGAGAAGCCTGGAATGCCTGCTAACTGTTACAGACGAGGGTGAGCGTTCCCTGACCAAGGACAACAACCTGCTCGGCAAGTTCGAGCTTACCGGCATTCCCCCGGCTCCCCGTGGTGTTCCTCAGATTGAGGTCTCCTTCGACCTGGATGCCAACGGTATCCTGAAGGTTCACGCCAGCGACAAGGGCACCGGCAAGGCCGAGTCCATCACCATCACCAACGACAAGGGTCGTCTGTCCCAGGAGGAGATTGACCGCATGGTCGCCGAGGCCGAGGAGTTCGCCGAGGAGGACAAGGCCATCAAGGCCAAGATCGAGGCCCGCAACACCCTGGAGAACTACGCGTTCAGCCTGAAGAACCAGGTCAACGACGAGAACGGACTGGGTGGCCAGATCGACGAGGACGACAAGCAGACCATCCTGGACGCCGTCAAGGAGGTGACTGAGTGGCTCGAGGACAACGCTGCCACTGCCACCACCGAGGACTTCGAGGAGCAGAAGGAGCAGCTCTCGAACGTGGCGTACCCGATCACCAGCAAGCTGTATGGCTCTGCGCCGGCGGACGAGGATGACGAGCCCAGCGGGCATGATGAACTGTAAAATTACCATACCATTAGAGGGATCTTTATGGAGTTAGCTTTTTGATTGTGTGTTTTGTTGAGACAATTGTTTTGGCCCGGTTTTTGCTGACCAGTCGTCCAACCGAGTATGATACCTGACCTGACCTTGACTTGAATTAGAGGCAGCAATTGCGTGATACCTTTTATATCACATTGATTCTATCTCCTGTAGATCATAGACTATACACAAAGGACAGACAACCCAACCACCACACAATATAACCAATCGACTCTAATACAGTCCTATATAATACACTAAAACCTCCCTTACATCTTCGAAATAACCTCCCTGATCCCCTCAACAACAACCTGATGATCATCCTCCTGCTTCAACCCACTCACCACCACCACCCCCACAATCCCATCCACCCCCCTCACCCGAATCGGGAACGCACCCCCATGAATCGCAAACTCATCCGCCGCCCCTCCACCCCCGGTACTCGTCAACGCAAACTTCCTCACAAACGCCGCCTCCACCTCACTCGCTTCCGCCCCCGTCGAACTCAACATCTTCTGCCTCATCAACCAGCTCGACATGCCCCACCGCAACACCGTGTTCCGCTTCCGCCGCACCCACACCTCGTTGTCCGCCACCGTGCCCGGCTCCGTCGCGCATTGGAAGATAACGTGTGGTTCGGAGCCGCCGGTCAAAGCGATGGAAACTAGGGCCGGTTTGCGTTGTGTGGGTGGGAGAGATAGAATGCGCTCGCGCAGGGCCAGGCCGAGGGTCCACGCGGTGCTGGAGGTGAAAGTGGGGAAGATTACGGAGGGGTTGGATTCGAGGGCCGCGAGGTCGCGGGGCTGTTTGGTTTGTTTAAAAAGGGAGGTTAGTTGGGGGTTTGAAGAGGTGGTTTGGAGGGTTGGATTTGAGGGGGATTGAGGTTGGAATGCTTGGGGATGGGGTTTGTGGGGGTGCGGGATGGCGGAGGGAGAGACGTACGTCGGTGCTTGCGGGGGGAAGGGGAGTGTCTTCCATTTTGGTTGGTTGGTGGAGGGGGTGGTTGGTAAGTTGTTTGAAGAAAATGTCAGCGATGTGTTTATGGAGGTGTTAAGTGAGTAAGGAGGAGTAGGAGGTAGTAGAGGAAAAGAAGAAGTAGAATATCTAGTAGATGATGGGAAATGACAGGAGGGGTCCAGGTGGATTGATTGCTAAGCTCGGTTGGGGGTGGGGTCACACCCTGTTACATAAATGATTACATGATCATCACTTGTATACTTTCTTGGGATACTGTTGTGCCACATCGTAACATGTCTATGTAACTATGGGTCATTTTGTATCGACTTAGTTTGAGATATTGACAACTGGGATGGAATTATTGCGGTGGGAGAAGATGGTGGAATCTGCATGTAATCGGGATCTTGAGTGAATGCCGGTCTTCTGACTCCGCATTGCTTTGCTTCCCCTCATCTGCAGCCACCAGTTATCCCTCTCCCTGGATACCCCTTTATCTTTCTTCTTCTTCATCCCCTTTGCTAGCTATCTGATTAAGATTCAGTGATCGCCCTTCCTTACTCATGCGCCATCGACTCACAAAGCGTGCATGCGATGAGTGTATCTCCCGCAAGGTCAAGTGCAGCGGCGCCTGGCCCTGTGATACCTGCCAGAGTGCCCAAAAGCAAGTCAACTGCACTTACCTGAAACCTGCGCGGAGAAGGGGACCTAAGGTACGAAGGTATATCGGGGGTCAGGGATCGGAACACGCGACAACCGGTCCTTTGATCACTCCACATGTTGATCCGCGTGACGAGGGGATAGCCCGTGTGGAGGTAGAGCAACATGTCTTGAGTACTATCCCAACAGAAGAACTGGTCTCGGTAGTGCGCTTCTACCAGCAGGCGTCTTATAGTGTGTGGCCGGTTGTCAATGCAGAAGTGCTGTTGAACAAGCTTGAGCATGGCACGCCAGATATTGGAACCTTGTGTCTGGCCATGGCTCTCTGTGCAGCCACCATGGCACAGCTGCAGCTTGCTCCGACAACTGTTGATAGCACGATGATGGCGGCGGAGTGTATGAGGATGCGTGAAGCGCACCTTGATTTGAGGAGCGTCTTGGTCTCGTTCTTCCTGCATGTATATCATGCCAAGATCAACCAGAGGGACTCGGCCATGCGGTTCATACGAGAGGCTGTGTATGGCGCTAGGCTGTTGAAGCTGGATGAAGGTGTGGGTGAGCAAGAGACTGCGCTCGGTGCAGATGTTGTTGCTAATAAAGAGATTGTATTCCTCTTGCTCTGGGTTTCTGAAAGGTAGAAATTCCTCTTCGCAAGTCCACTGTAGTTCATACTGACATTGCTCAGGGGCTATGCTATGCATCTCGGTCTCGAACCATCATATACCAGTCCTATTCGCCTACCCGATGAGGTCGATGTGGGAGATAGCGCGGATGCGAAAGGCCTGCTTGAGCTTGGCAGACTCTTTGCCACGTTCGATGGGTTTTCGTCCGGAAGGAGCACAAATTCCAGAGATAAGCTAGTAATGACTGCGGATAGTCTTGCGAAGACGGAGACAGTTCTATCGATGCTTTCGTTCGGTAAAGGCGACCGACCTTCCACCCGCATTGCGGATTATTGCATCACGAAAGAATGGATGAGGACTATCATCTGGCAGGAAGCTCTGTCTCGGCGTCTGCTCTCCTCGAAATCCGGTGCCCAGCTCATGACATTTAGATTCCCGGCGGTGGTTAGCCGTGACCTTTTGATGTCTCTACAAGGCTTTAATGAGTCTGACTTGCTGCCTTTGGGGCGCGACCAGGTTTGTTTTCGCGATTCTTGGGGCTGCCAGGTACTAATCGAATTCCGAGTTTAGCTGTTGAAGTGTTTCGAGATCGCCAACTCACTCGCGGATACTGTCCTGCTCACGCCATCGGTATCCACATACTCTGCCTTCCAGTTAGGGCCACACGACTTTCTGCACGCCTTATACCAGAAGCTGCTGCCTTTCCTGGAGCAAGATCTCATGTTGAAGTCGATACTGCATAGTAAGACGGCTGAGGCCTTGCTTAAAGCCCCCGCGCGCTTACTGGACTTGAACTATGACCCTTGGTCATTCGATGACGATAAAGATAACGCTTACACTACCGAAGAGCATGTGGACTCTCCTGAGCAGTACGTTGATTCGCGATGGGCTCTCTATTAATAGAAAGTGGATGAGCGTGCCTGAGGCTTTCGAAGAGATAAGACGCACTGCAGAACTGCTATTTCTCTGAACTATCAAGAACGAGTGAGCTACTGCGAAACTTGAAGGACGATTCTACCTGCAATATCACCCTTCTCCATCTCCTCGTATACCTGTGGCAACTCCTTGAAGGTCCGGACCTTGATTTCCGGTTTGACCACCCCACGCCGGACCAAGTCCACTGCCTCCATGCACTCTTTTAGTGAGCCGATGAGATTCCCGGTAACCCGGAGGCCTTTGATCACGATTGTGCAAATAGGGGTTTCCAGAACTGGACGGCCTGGCGGGATTCCCACGCAGCTTAGAGTACCCCCAACCCGCAACATGTCACAAGCATGGGCAAAGGCTTTGGCACTTCCCGCAGTCACCACAACGGCATGCGCACCAAGGCCGGTAATTTCATGAACTTTCTGCACCGGATCCGTGGAAGTAAAATCAATGAACTCTGTTGCTCCCAAACCAAGGACAAAGTCTCGCTTGTCGGCAGCGTCGACGCCAATAACCAGTGCTCCTTGTGCCTTGGCATATTGAACTGTTCGGTCAGTTTGTTGTAGCCTTGCGAAATGCGCCCAACTTACCAGCCAGATGCCCAAGACCACCTCCAGCACCTACTACAACGAGCCAGTTGCCGGCCCGGATATTCGTATTAAGAACAGCCTACGAACTGTCAGCAATCAGATCCCATGCTTTGTGCTTAGAACTGATTAACCTTGTATGCTGTTACTCCAGCACACAGCACCGGCCCGATAACCTTTGGATCTATATCATCAGGGAGAATCGTGAGGTTGTCAGCATCCAGAGCGATATACTCCTGGAAGCTGCCGTCTTCATGATGGAGATGGTTCGTGCCCTTGACACAGTACTGCTCCGTACCGGCTAAGCAGAACTCGCATCTCCTACAAATCCGACTAGCGAAGCGAATGCCGACTAGCCCGCCGACCTTCAGGTCAGCGCCACAGTTGGGACCCAGAGCCACGATCTGCCCGACACCTTCATGACCTCCAACATGCGGCAGTTTGATCTTCGTGATTGGGTTGCCATCAGCGCCAGCCGCAGTGCCGTTTTTTGTATGTAAATCTTTTCCGATCGCGTTAGCCTCTGGGAAGTATTGTATGACAGAGGTTCATCAAGACTGACCACTTTGGCAGACACCTGTATACAGAACCTTCGCTAATACCTCATTCGACCCCGGGGTAGGAACGGGATAGCCTTCACGAAACTCCACACTGCCTCCCAGTTCTCGAACGAGAGCCACCGTTTGAGTCTGGGGGATCTCGTCTGAAGGCAGCGACATAGCACCCATGTTGAATAATCTGAGTTTGGAAGACTCGGTTTCTTTCCTATGGACGAGTGCGCCAACGAAGAGGGAAGGATCACTGGGAATGAAAGCCATATAAATAATTTTTAGTCTGGTTTATGATATACGACACATCAATCAGGGCTCTGAATTCACGCCTCAGAATGCAATACTGTACTTACTACGTAGCTATTCCTTGATAGACCAAAACGCATTAGCCCAACCTAGATATTTCTCCAATTGGCCGACAAGCCCTGCAGCCGCGGGACGGAACCAGCAGGACTCGCCATGCTCTATTTCTCCGAGCCAAACAACAGCGAACAAAGAACACCCCGCACGGACCATAGGTGGATGATAGCCACTTACTTCCTCGACTTGATAATCGTCCTGCATTCATGATCATCCAGACCCTCGTGTGGCTGCTAGAGGGATGATTTGATATTCAGAACCCCCTCACTTCGCGATAGCAGAGATGCTGCAGAGTTGCATGGCTCCGCAATTTCTCCGCTTGATATGTTGAATGTCTTAATGAATCGCGGTTAGCTCGTATCGCTATTTCTCCGAAGCATGTATGCATCACGTGCATATACGGCGAAGGACAATCGAGGAGGAATGCATGAATCAAGGAGGAGCTGCAGAAAGCAGCACCCCTGCAAGCTGGAACTACTGAAGATATCGAGGATATTCAGTATTCCTCTGTTAGATAGTGTAAGTCGTATCGACTCCTAGACGATAATTCGATCCCTTCCAGTTGCGACGTGCTATCAGGAATAATAAGCATAACTCTCGAGAATGCGGAATCTCATGTTACAACCAAATGTATTAAGATTAAGAAGAGTCTGAATTTATGTTCTAGTAGCTACAAAATAGATTATCTTATCTACATTAAGCAAACAATTAGCAAACGTATACCAGCCATTGTATTCATTGTTGCGCTCTCTTTTGGTAAGGCAAATAAAGCTATCCTGCATAAAATTTGGAGATCATCTAGAAAAGGAATCTAATAGTGATACGATACAAATCATAAGGATGAAGAGCAGAGACTTACAGGCCCGCCCTGTTCTTATCGTCAATACTGTTTCCCAAGGAAGGCCTGCGGCTGTCAGTGCTCTGCGGGTGAGCTGAGGATATTGTTGAGCCAGCTGAATGAAAAGTCACGGGCAGATGATTGTCACCCCTAGTCATGTAGTTAGTCCGTTCTGATCCTGAGTACGACTAAGTGATATACCTGTATGCAGTGTTTTCACTGGTACCGTCCCTTGACAGGCCGACCAACTATCATTCTGTATCAGGCTCATTTACTGCGCCTCAAGAACAAGCAATCCTGCGCCACGCTCTATCTGTCACGTTCAGAACCCTTATTGGGGTTTCAGAGTCTGCATCGTTCAGCTAGTGAAGTTGGGTGAAGACATATCCTATTTATAGCCGAGGCTAGAAAATGAAGAGATTACTGCTTTCGGAAACCTCTTCGAGATATAATCACGTGATCAGATGATCCAAGTAGATGTACACCTTAACTGGGGAACCTCTGTGGATGCAGGCGCTCAGGAACAAGGCGCCAAACAATAAGGCGTCCAACAATACAGAATTCAACAGTAAGGCGTCCAAGAATAAGGAATCCCGGAACAAGTATCCAACAACAAGATGTTCTACATGGACAGCCATTGGTTGCAAGCGAACTACTACGATCATGAGGATCTGCTGCGGCCACGGACGATGGATGGAGAATCAGAGCATCAGATATCTATATAAGTAGCCCATGGCCAGAGATATCTTCAATCATTCCAAATACATTGCATTGCCAACATAAAAGGCATTCTTTCTTATATTGCATCTGATACATTTCGTACAATTGAAACTCTACACTATCCAACCCATCAAGATGATCGTCTACAGTCCAAAAGCACTGG